CTTCCGACGTTTGATTTCTTTTTAAAAAATGCGTTTCTAAAGTGTATAAGCATTTGGGATTGACTGTATAGCCAATACATCCTTAAACATTGAAAACGCTGCTGCGTATCCGATAAAACGTTCAAGACCGAAGCGCGTATCGTATGTATCATCCGAGTAAATACCTTTTGTGTTTGTGTGTCAAGATTTGGAAGTGACCGGTTTAACGCCGGGCAAGGAATATCTATTCCGGGTTAGTGCCGTGAACGCGGAAGGAGAATCTAAACCTTTGGAAGCGGAACAAGCGATCCTGGCTAAGAATCCATTCGGTGAGTAGCGAATCACGCGAACGCGACTTCCGTATCATTAAAATGAAAATTATCGTCGGGACGGAGATGTGAGGACGTCGTGTGCGAATTTCAGATGAACCAGGCAAGCCCGGCGACGTGCGCGTGACGGACTGGGACAGGGACCACGTGGATCTCAGTTGGAGTCCTCCGCTGAACGACGGTGGTTCGCCCGTTACCGGATACATAATTGAAAAGAAAGACAAATACGGCGAATGGGAAAAGGCGTTGGAAGTACCAGCGGACGATACTTCGGCCACTGTACCTGACTTGATAGAAGGCCAGCCGTACGAGTTCCGCGTACGAGCCGTGAACAAGGCCGGCCCTGGCGAGCCTTCCGACGCTACGCCAACGATCATTGCCAAGCCTCGAAACCTGGCGCCCAAGATCGACCGCACAAATCTGGTGGAGGTCAGAATCAAAGCTGGTCAGAACTTCAGCTTCGACGTGAAAGTGACCGGCGAACCGCCGCCAACTACCAAGTGGATGCTGGCTCGACGAGAAGTCCGATCCACTGAGAGGATCAAAGTCAAGCATGTAGATTATAATACGAGCCTCAGCGTGAGAATGGCTACTAGGGCCGAATCGGGCACGTACACGATCACCGCTGAGAACTTAAGTGGTATGGACGAGGCAACGGTCAAGGTGACCGTCCTCGACGTACCGAGTCCACCGCAAGGACCGCTGAGAGCGACGGACGTCCATGCGGAAGGCTGCAAGCTCACGTGGAAACCACCGGAGGACGACGGGGGTCAACCTATCGACAGTTACATCGTCGAAAAGATGGACGAGGCTACCGGTCGTTGGGTACCCGCCGGAGAAACTATCGGTCCCGAGACCTCTTTAGACATCGACGGACTCACTCCGGGCCACAAGTACAAATTCCGAGTTCGAGCAGTTAATAAGCAGGGCAAATCCGAACCGCTCGTAACTGCTCAGAGCATTGAAGCTAAGAATCCGTTTGGTAAGTGAATCCATATTGAACCCAACAAAAATTGCAAAATATATTATTTCCGTACAACAATTTAAATATAATGATTTAACTACGTCCGTTATAGATGAACCAGGAAAGCCTGGGACACCCGTGGTCAGCGACTATGACTCGGACTTTGTGGAGCTGCAATGGTCTCGTCCAGAGCTAGACGGTGGATCGCCCATCACTGGGTACATAATCGAGAAACGAGACAAATACAGTCCCACTTGGGAGAAATGCGCCGAGGTGGAGGGCGACGTAAATCGTGGAAAGGTGAACGACCTCGTCGAAGGCACGAACTACGAGTTCCGAGTCAGGGCGGTGAACAAAGCTGGCCCTGGTGAACCATCGGACGCTTCGAAATCGCACTTGGCCCGACCAAAGAATCGTGAGTATCTTCGTCTTATTAGCTAGGAGCAAATTTTTACGTACATACATCGTGCTTTGCTTCGACTTAGACCGGAAAATATATTTTTTTCAGTTCCACCGAAGATCGACAGGAAGTACATGCTGGACGTGAAAGTGAAAGCCGGTGGCTTCTATGACTTTGACGTCCCCGTAATTGGAGAACCACCTCCAACGAAGGAATGGTCATTGAAGGGTACGGTCCTCGTAGCGAACGATCGTATAAAGATCATAAACGAAGATTACAATACCAAAGTCCGCGTGATCGAAGCGAAACGTTCGGATTCCGGCGTGTACACGCTCGAAGCGAAGAATATCAATGGCAGAGACAGTGCTACTCTGAACGTGAATGTATTGGACGTGCCGGCACCACCGGAAGGTCCTCTCAAGATCGACAACGTGACCAAGAACGGGTGCAATTTGAAATGGCGACCACCCAAGGACGACGGTGGCTCGGAGATTCAATTCTACCAAGTGGAGAAGATGGACACGGAAAACATGCGTTGGGTGCCCGTCGCCGAAGCTACCGGCACGTCGGCTCACGTCGATCATTTGATAGAAGGCCACGACTATCAATTCCGCGTGCGCGCGGTCAACAAACAAGGCGAATCGCCGCCGCTCACGGGAATGGACACTATAACTGCGAAGGATCCGTTCAATAAACCCGACAAACCTGGAGTACCGGTTGCCACCGATTGGGACAAGGATCGCGTGGATTTGGAATGGGCAGCACCCAAGAAAGACGGTGGTTCGCCCATCACAGGATACATCATCGAAAAGCGACCGAAATTCGGCGAATGGGAAAAGGCTTTGGAGATCGACGCTAGTAAAACGAATGCTAGAGTGCCCGATTTAATAGAAAATCAAGAATATGAGTTCCGGGTGATCGCTGTGAACAAAGCCGGCCCCAGCGAACCGTCGGAAGCCTCTGCTCCGATCATCGCCAAACCTCGTTTCCGTAAGACACTTTACATACCGTGTGACAGCGAGTTCATAGGATCAATTTAAAATATGAAGGAAATTAAATGTACTTTTTCATTGCAGTTGCACCGATCTTCGACCCTCACGCGCTGAGCGATCTCGTCGTGCGAGCTGGGCAGAAGATAAGCTACATCATTCCTTTCCAAGCCTCGCCCAAACCCACGGCTACCTGGTCTTTGGAGGGCGAGGGACTGATCATGGCTGACGCGCGTCACGAGATGTACACTACTCATACGGAGACTACGTTTGAAATTCCTTTCTCCGTCCGCTCCGACACTGGCCGCTACACGCTAACTTTGGAGAACGATCAAGGAAAATTCAGGTAGCCAGGAACGATCAAGAAGAGTCGTTCGATAAATTATATGTTTCGAATCGATCGATCGACCCGATCGTCGGACGATCTTAATTCGGTCGACTAAATGTTACAGTTCGAGTGCTAGAGTGACAGTCCTCGACAGACCGTCTCCACCCTTGAAACCGCTTCAAATCAGCAAAATTACTAAAGAAGGTTGTCACTTGGCTTGGGGCCACCCGCTGGACGACGGAGGCAGTCCTATTCTGCATTATGTCATCGAGAAGATGGATTTGTCGCGAGGCACTTGGTCGGACGCTGGTATGAGCACGATTCTAAGCCACGAAGTGGCGCGATTGACGCATCGCAAAGAGTATCTGTTCCGAGTGAAAGCCGTCAACTCCATCGGAGAGTCCGACCCGCTCGAAGCGTCCAGGAGTATCGTAGCCAAAAACGAATTCGGTACGCGTTCTTACAGTTACGCGTACAAAGTCTCGTCTACAGCGCTTGGCTATTAATTAATCGATTTGTTTAAACGACTACAGACGAACCGGACGCGCCTGGAAGACCTCAGATCACGGACTGGGACAAAGACCACGTGGACCTGCAGTGGCCAGCGCCGGCTAACGACGGCGGTACTCCGATCACTGGCTACATCGTCCAGAAGAAAGAGAAGGGCAGTCCGTACTGGGTGAACGCGATTCACGTTCCACCGGACCAGACCAAAGCCACTGTTCCCGATTTGACGGAAGGACAGGAATACGAGTTCCGTGTGATCGCCGTTAATGCTGCCGGTCAATCGGAGCCGTCAGAACCGAGCGATCTCATCACTGCCAAACCTCGTTACCGTCAGTATCAAATGCTATTTTATTTACTACTACGTTTTCCTGGTTACTCGCTTATCAGAGAAGAATTTCACTTTAATCGAATCGGGTCGTGTGATTTCAGTGGCTCCGAAGATCAAGACTCCTTTACAAGACATTCGAATCAAGGCTGGTCTCATCTTCCACGTGGACATCGACTTTATCGGCGAACCGACACCGGAAGTCACTTGGACCGTAGGAAGCAAGGATTTGGAGACGAACCAGAGAACGACCGTGACATCGATCGGTTATCACACGATCGTACACACTGTCAATGCTCAGAGATCGGATTCCGGCTTGTATCATCTGTTGCTGAAGAACAGCAGTGGAATAGACGAAGGAAGCTTCCAAGTGATCGTGCTCGACAGACCAGGTCCGCCGGAAGGACCATTGGAATACGAAGAAATCACGAGTCAGTCAGTCACTTTATCGTGGAAACCACCTAAAGACAACGGTGGCAGCGAGCTCACGTGAGTAACGACGAATACATTTGATCACTTTAACGAACGGCAAGAAGCAATAGAGTAAATGAAATTGTTCTTCCATGCAGTGGCTACGTGATCGAGAAACGCGACTTAACGCACGGTGGTGGTTGGGTACCAGCGGTGACCCACGTTAATCCCAAGCAAACTCATGCCACGGTGCCCAGATTACTCGAAGGTACCACGTACGAATTCAGAATATGCGCGGAGAATCTTCAGGGACGCTCCGAGCCTCTCACCACCGATCGTTCGATCGTCGCCAAGAATCAATTCGGTAAGCTTTCGAGTTTCATACGAGCTATGTGCAAGCGTAATTTTACACTAGATTACCGATCATCGACCGACGTCGATCGTTGCAAATAAAGATCCGCGGATCTAATCATGCACACGCGGAAGGCGTATACTTACGTTGCGATCGTGTTTAGTTGTACCCGGACAACCTGGTAAGCCGGAATGCGTGGACGCGGACAAGGATCACATAAAGATCAAATGGACCGCGCCAATCAGCAACGGAGGATCCAAGATCATCGGTTACGACGTGGAACGTCGGGACCGCGCGACAGGTCGCTGGCTGAAGTTGACCAAGGAGCCAGCGAAGTACGCTGAGTACTACGACGACCACGTGACCGAGGGCCATCAGTACGAGTACCGAGTGACCGCGATAAACGCCGCCGGCGCGGGCAAACCTAGCGACACGTCCGCGGTGTTCATCGCGAAACCGATGAAAGAGAAACCCAAGTTGAATTTGGACGCGCTGATCGGGCGCAAGATTAAAGTACGCGCTGGAGAACCCATCAACGTGAACATCCCGCTGTCAGGCGCGCCCACTCCTACCATCGAATGGACCAAGGACGCGAAGCGTCTCATTGAGACTCTCAGAATATCGGTAAGCGCGCTCTTATCCATTCTCAATTGAGTACGAAAGATTCGTTCTCGCGCATCGAATCGGTAATGATCAGAGTACGTATACTCAGTGATGTATTTACAAATTTGAACGGATTCCAGACCGAGACGAAGACGGATCGCACCAATCTACTGGTGGAGAAGTCGGTCCGCGAGGACGGTGGAATCTACACGGTGACTGCGACGAACGAGTACGGAAAGGATTCGGCCGACATCGACGTGACCGTTGTGGACAGACCAGGACCGCCTCAAGGTCCGCTCCAATACACGGGCACGACCCAGGAGAGCGTGTCTCTGTCGTGGAACCGACCATTGGACGACGGTGGTTCGGACGTTACTAATTACATCGTCGAGGTCTCGGACTATGGAGCCGACAATTGGAGGCAGACACCTGGCTACTGTCCCAGGACGAGTTACATGGCGAAGGGACTCACCGAGGGTAAAAAATACGTATTTCGGGTACGAGCAGAGAACATGTACGGCGTGTCGGAGCCGTTGGAGGGTAAACCGATCATTGCCAAGAGCCCGTACGATCCACCGGATGCACCTAGTCAACCTGAGATTCTCGGCTACACGCCTAACAGCTGTAGTCTTTTATGGAACGCGCCGCTCAACACCGGTGGCAAGCCTATCACTGGTAATTTACGTCCGTTTCATATCCATTTCAGTTCGAACTATGAAACAAACGATCACTATTTCAATCGATTTCGCAGGATATTACGTGGAGAGACGCGAGAGAGGAGGCGAGTGGTTGAAAGTCAACAACTATCCCACTCCGAATACGACGTTCACCGTACAGGATCTTCACGAGGGATCCAAGTATGAATTCAGAGTGATCGCCGTTAACGAAGCTGGTCCTGGCAAACCTAGCAAACCCACCGAGCCTATCACCGCTGGCCATCAACGTCGTAAGTGTACAACCGCGCGAGATCCGTTCGATGGTCTGACGACAACGTCTCTGAACGAACGCGTCTCACATGAATTTTTTCACAGTGCGTCCAGACGCTCCCGAGCCACCGAAACCTGACAGGATCACGAAGGACTCGGTAACGCTGAGCTGGCGACCACCGCGAAACGACGGAGGAGCCAAGATCAGAGGCTACATCGTCCAGATGAAGCAGAGAGGTCAGGACGAATGGGACGACGTGAACGGCGCCTTGATACCGAGCAACGTGTACACGGTACCGAAACTGAAAGAGGGCGAGGAGTATCTCTTCAGGGTGATCGCGGTGAACGACGTCGGTAAAAGTGAGCCGAGCCGAGCCAGCAACCCGATCGTGATCGAAGAGCAACCTAACAAGCCCGTGATGGATCTCGGAGGAGTTCGCGACATCACTGTTCGCGCCGGTGAAGATTTCTCCATTCACGTGCCGTACATCGGTTTCCCCAAACCCACCGCCACTTGGTTCGCCAATGACGTGATCAAGGATGAAACGGATTCGCGCGTGCATCAACAATTGGGCGACGATTACGCGAGGTATCAATTTTTCTTTGCGCCCCGAGAGATGCGAAGATCATTTTCATCTCTCAGAGTGTTTCTCTGTTCCGTTTCACGTTTTACAAAATAAATCGAATTTGCTTTTGCAGTTTGGTGGTAAAGAACGCGAAACGTTCGGACGGAGGACAGTATCGCCTACAGTTGCGCAATTCTTCGGGCTTCGACACTGCCACGGTGAATGTAAAAGTTCTCGACCGTCCAAATCCACCTGTGAATCTCCATGCAGACGAATTCGGTGGAGATGCTCTGACGCTATTCTGGAATCCACCCAAGGACAACGGAGGCGCCGATATTACCAATTACGTCGTCGAGAGACGAGAACCAAAGGGATCATGGTCGAAGGTATGTGTGCCCGTGATGATTTACGTTTCATTCGACCCGATTTAAACTCTCGTACAACTTGTTCGTCTGCCCGTAGAAATTATTTGTACGACCTATCTTTATCTACTTATCTAACTATTTATTCGTCTGTCTATCTGTACAGGTGAGCAGCTACGTGACGACACCGTTCGCCCGAGTCAGAAATCTGACAGTGGGAAGCGTGTACGAATTCCGAGTAATGGCTGAGAACCAATACGGCACCTCGGATCCCGTGACCACGATAGATCCGATCAAGGCCAGGTATCCATTCGACCCGCCGGGAGCACCTGGAGCTCCGAGAGGTGTCGAAACAACGGAAGACAGTATCACAATCACTTGGACCAAGCCCCGTCACGACGGAGGATCTCCTATCCTTGGATACGTGATCGAGAAACGTCTCCTCAGCGAGGACAAATGGGTAAAAGCTACTCCGTCTCTGGTTCACGAAACCACCTACAGGTAACATCTGCTTCTCTCGTCTGTTCGTTAGAAGGGCAAAGCTCAGATTCGTTCATTTTCAGAGTGACCGGTCTCATCGAGAATCGCGATTATGAGTTCCGCGTCGCGGCTGAAAATGCAGCTGGTCGCGGACCATGGAGCTCGAACTCGGAGGTCATCCGAGCCAGTGCTCCGGCATGTGAGTATTCCGATTTCAGATCGAAAAAATCAAAATAGACTCGATGAATACTGATCAACTTTATGTCTACCTTTTTTATTTCCAGTCGCACCGAAGATCACGTCGGATCTCAGCATCCGTGATATGACGGTGATAGCCGGAGAACCGTTCACGATAACGGTTCCGTTCACGGCGAACCCGAAACCGAGACCAAGCTGGTCGATCAACGGTGAAGAAGTCCTCGTAGGAGACAGGATCAAATTCGAAACAACGGACATTGCTTCGCAGTTCATCAACAAGAAAGCGAAGAGATCCGACACAGGAAATTACACAATCTACCTGACCAATACCGTTGGCACGGATTCTGCTTCGTGCAAAGTTCTCGTCGTCGGTACGCACAGACACGTTTCGTGGCATCGATCAATGCGAATCATTTGGAATTAATTAAGATTGTTAGAAGGGAAATGAAAACGATGATTCTCTTCCGCAGATAAACCGTCTCCACCGCAAGGACCGCTCGACATCTCTGACATAACTCCGGAAACTTGTACATTGTCCTGGAAACCACCGTTCGACGACGGTGGCTCTCCCGTTACAAATTACGTCGTCGAGAAATTGGACCCGGCTGGCGTAAGTCATTTTCATTATAAATAGACCGTGGAATTTTTCGTAGTACGGAAAATAAAATGAAATGATAAATAATAATCTAATTCCGATTACATGATACGACGTTTGTACTTCTTTCACAGTATTGGGTGAAGCTGAGCAGCTTCGTTAGAAACACGCACTACGACGTGATCGGGTTGGAACCGAACAAGAAGTACAACTTCCGCATCCGAGCGGAGAACCAATACGGAGTCTCGGAGCCGCTGCAAGCGGACGAACCCATCACCGCCAAATTCCCATTCACCGTTCCCGATCCTCCGGGACAGCCTCGCGTGATCGACTGGGACACCTCCAATGCGACTGTGGTCTGGACCAGACCGATATCCGACGGTGGATCCCGAGTGCAAGGGTACAAGATCGAGTTCCGAGATCCCGCGGACGACGCTACTTGGCGAGTGGCAAACGACTACTTGGTCAAGGATACTACTTATATCTGCTACGGGCTGTTAGCGGGACACGAATACGAATTCCGCATACGCGCCAAGAACGCGGCCGGTTTCAGCAGGCCGAGTCCGCCTTCGGCACCGTTCAAACTGAAGAGCAAGTTCAACGTGCCTTCGCCGCCGGGAACGCCGCAAGTGACCAAGGTCGGAAAGAACTACGTCGATCTGAAATGGGAAGCACCGATTTCCGACGGCGGCAGCCGTATCACCGGCTACGTGATCGAGAAACGCGAGGTCGGAAGTGCGATTTGGATCAAGTGCAACGAGTACAATGTCACGGACACGGAATACACGGTTCTTCATCTAATCGAACGCGGCGATTACGAGTTCAGAATATTCGCCGTGAACGCCGCGGGAAGGTCCGAGCCGAGCTCGTGCACCACTCCCGTGAAGATCTGCGAGGTGGAAGGTGGAGAGAAACCAGAGTTCGTAAGACCTTTACCTATCTCGACGAGCGTGCCGCTCGGAAAAACTTTGGTGCTCGAATGCGAGGCGGTCGGCAAGCCATTGCCGACAGCCAGGTGGCTGAAGAACGGAAGAGAGATAACGGTAGGCGGTCGATTCAGAACGGAGGCTTTCGACGGTACCTACAGGCTCGTGATAACGGAAGTGACGGACACGGACAACGCGGATTACAGTTGCCAGATCTCGAACCCTCTTGGCCTAGCTACGTGCACGGGTCGCGCGAAGATCGGCTCGCCGCCGCGCATCGAGCGAATGCCAGACGTTTTATACCTGGCCGAGGGCGACAACACCAAGATCAAGATCTATTACAGCGGCGATCAACCGATGGACGTGGTACTGAAGAAGGACGGACGGAAACTGGAAGAGACGACGCACGTCAAGTACACCGTGTTCGACGAATATCTGATCATCTTCATAAAAGACATCCAGAAGGACGACGAGGGTACGTACGACCTGTCGATCTCGAACGACAGCGGCAGCGTGAGCGGCTCGTTCCATGTGGTCGTCACTGGTCTCCCCGGACCGCCGACCGGACCTCTCGACATCACCGATATCGACAAACATACCTGCACTCTGTCCTGGCATCCGCCGAAATTCGATGGCGGCCTCCGAGTCACTCACTACGTCGTCGAACGTCGCGACGTCAGTCATACGCATTGGATCACCGTATCCTCGTTCTGCAAAGACTGCACATTCATGGTACAGGGTCTGGCGGAGGGACAGGAGTACCTATTCCGCGTGATGGCCGTGAACGAGAACGGTATGGGTCCTCCGTTGGACGGAGCGAACCCGATAAAGGCCAAAGCGCCATTCGATCCTCCAGGTCCACCGGGAACACCGAAGGTGACGGAAGTCGGTGGAGATTTCGTGAATCTCTCGTGGGAGAAACCGGAATCGGACGGAGGCTCGAAGATCCAAGGATACTGGATAGACAAACGCGAGGTGGGCAGCCAAACCTGGCAGCGCGTGAACGTAGCGATTTGCTTGCCAACGCAGATCAACGTGAGCAACCTGATAGAGGGAAGGCAGTACGAGTTCCGCGTATTCGCTCAGAACGCCGCGGGTCTCGGCCCGGAATCGAAAGCTTCGACGTCCGTGAAGATCACGGATCCGCAAGCTGCCAAACCTCCGGAAGTGATCCAACCTCTGCACAAGGTCAACTGCGTGCAATATCACAACGCGCAGTTCGTTTGCAAGATCGTGGGTATTCCGAAGCCGACGATTACCTGGTTCAAAGGCGCCCGGGAGATCGTGAGTGGGTCTCGATACAACATCTACTCCGAGGGCGACACGCACACGCTTATAATTCACGACGTATTCGGAGAAGACGCGGACGAGTACGTCTGTCGCGCGGTGAACAAATGCGGAGTGAAATCCACGAAGGGAGAGCTTCTAATCAAGACCCCACCGAAATTAAATGTGCCGCCGAGGTTCCGAGACACCGCATTCTTCGACAAGGGCGTGAACGTCGTGATCAAGATCCCGTTTACTGGATACCCGAAGCCGAAGATCACTTGGGTCAGGGAAGGAGAGACGATCGAGTCCGGAGGACACTACACCGTCGAGGCGAAGGAACGGCACGCTGTGCTCACGATTATAGACGGCAGCCGCATCGATTCCGGACCGTATCGTATTACAGCGGAGAACGATCTTGGACAAGACACGGCAATCATCAAGATCCAGATCAGCGACAGGCCAGATCCGCCCAGGTTCCCGCAAATCGACAACGTGGGACACGATTCGTTGGCCCTCAGCTGGAAACCGCCAGTCTGGGACGGTGGCAGCAACATTACCAATTATCTCGTGGAAAAACGAGAACATCCGATGACCAGCTGGATCCGAGTAGGAAACACCAGGTTCTGCTCGATGGCAGTGACCGGGCTCAGTCCGGGACACCAATACGACTTCCGAATTTGCGCGGAGAACATTTACGGCCGCTCGGATCCGAGCGAAGTGACACCGTTGATCACGACCAAGGGTACGGTCAAACGAGAGTTCAAGCAGAAGGAGTACAAGGTGGATGAGACCGGAAAGAAGATCCGCGGACGTAGCGACGAGAAACCCAAGGACTACGATCAATTCGTGTTTGATATCTACAGCAAATACGTGCCGCAGCCGGTCGAGATTAAGCATTTCTCGGTCTACGACAGATACGATATCCTCGAGGAGATCGGAACCGGAGCGTTCGGCGTGGTGCATCGCTGCCGCGAACGAGCGACAGGAAACATTTTCGCAGCCAAGTTCATTCCCGTTTCCCACGCGATGGAGAAGGAGCTCATCAGGAAGGAAATCGACATAATGAATCAACTCCATCATCCGAAGCTGATCAATCTCCACGACGCCTTCGAAGACGACGACGAGATGGTTCTCATTTTCGAGTTGTAAGTTACTATTGTCTCACCGCATCGAATTATCACATCACGGATACCTGATGAAAATGGCGATATTTGTTGTTTTAGCCTGTCCGGTGGAGAACTGTTTGAGAGGATCACGGCCGAAGGTTACACAATGTCCGAGGCCGAGGTGATCAATTACATGAGACAGATATGCGAGGGCGTCAAGCACATGCACGAGAAGAACATTATACACTTGGGTAACGACTCTCTTCTCCCTCGTCTTTCTGTCTTCTCTTCGCTATGATTTCTCTTATACGTGGTTTCTTTCGTTTTACTTGCAGACATCAAGCCAGAGAACATCATGTGCCAGACGCGCACCAGCACCAACGTAAAACTGATCGATTTCGGATTAGCTACAAAGCTCGATCCGAACGAAGTAGTAAAGATCAGTACAGGCACGGCGGAATTCGCTGCACCAGAGATTGTCGAACGTGAACCGGTCGGCTTCTACACGGATATGTGGGCTTGCGGTGTCTTGGCCTACGTTCTGTAAGTTTAAGGATATATTGGCTATACAGTCAATTCCAAAAGTTTATGTACCTTAGAAAAACGCATTTCCTATAATTAAAAAGAAATCAGACATCGGAAGAACAATGCTAATAATAAATAGCTACGTGCCAAAAATTATAGAAAGGAATATCCAATTAATTATTGACATCGAGACTCTGAAGAACGTGAAAGCATGCGACTGGGACTTTGATGAGGAAGCATTCCGTTACGTCTCCGAGGAGGGCAAGGATTTCATCAGACGATTGCTCGTCAAGAACAAAGAGTACGATCTTGCTTCCTATTTTTTACCATCTGTCCATTTATCCATCTCTTGCTGTCGGAAACTAAACGGACCTCTCCGTTCGTGTCGTAATAAGAATAATAATTACAACGTATCGCTGCTAGGAAACGCATGACCGCGCACGAGTGTCTCCTCCACCCATGGCTGACCGGCGACCACAGCGATCGCACTACGCCGATCGCAGCCAGCCGATACCTGAACTTCAGGGACAGGCTACGAGCCAAATACGAGGACTGGGATAAATACGTCCTTCCCATTGGCCGACTATCCGAATACTCTTCCCTCAGGAAACTGTTAATCGAGAAATACAGGATCTACGATTCCTGCTTCGGTAAATTTGCCATACCCTGATTCGCTTCCGATCGAATTTTATTACACCGCGATCCATTCGCGACGAGACGGAGAACTGATTCGATTAATCATTGCTAGATCGGCGGCAAGCGGCGCCCAGGTTCGTGATCAAACCTACCAGCGCGTTCGCCTACGAGGGCCAGAGCGTGAAATTCACGTGCCGCGTGATCGCGATCGCCGCACCGACTCTAACATGGTTCCACAACAACCAGGAGCTTCGACAGTCGGTGAAATTCATGAAACGTTACCACGGCGACGATTACACGTTCATCATCAACAGAGTCAAGCTGGAGGACAGAGGAGAATACGTGATCAGGGCAGAGAATCACTATGGTTACAGGGAGGAGGTCGTGTTCCTGAACGTGCAACGTACGTTTCAATCGTTTGCTCTGCAAACAGCAGAGGAACACGATTTTATCTATCCTACTGATTTCTGTTTCTGATTTCTATCTCGCAGCGTTGCCAGTGGATATTCCAAAATACAGGCCAGAACTGCACCCGGTCCGAAGGAGGGAACCTCTCGGTTACAACGTCTGGCTAGAGACGATCGAGTCAGCTCCGTCCTTCACCTTCTTGCTCAGACCTCGTGTGATTCAAGTCAGGCAAACGTGCAAACTGCTCTGCTGCCTCGCTGGCAACCCACCACCCACGGTCAAATGGTACAAAGATAAAGATGAACTCTCGAAGCATCACTACCCGATGACACACTCTGACGGTGTCGTTACCATGGAAATAATCGACTGCAAGCCGGGAGACAGTGGAAAGTATCGGTGCGTCGCGACCAACAAACACGGGAAAGATGAGACCAGCTGCGTGGTCATAGTGGAAGGTACGATCTTGAGATTTTGTTGTTTCAAAGAAATTGGAATAACGACTGCGACGACCGAGTTTCACGCGACACAAGTTTCGCAGCAAAGAATAGTCAATGAACGTTTGTTTCTAGGCACCGGAGAAACCGAGGAGCAAGTTAAATTAGCGCACGACCTCCTACATTCCGGAGGTAGAAAGATATGAGAGTGATAGTTGTATACCCCCTGTTTTCATTCACGGTCCTTGATAGACTAGATATACTGACTTTTAATTTAATTGTAGATCACCCAAAATGAATGATTTCCCTGATTATCCCGTACTAGGACTAACTGATTACCCCGTGATCGTGGTTTTATCGTTAGTTGGCTCGCCACCACCGAATTAACAATTACCCCAACAACGCGCCACAAGTGGTCGCGTGCTTCAGTGCGAAATGAAAATTGACAGGAGAATAGAGACACGTTATTCATTTTGCAGATCGAAGATTTATCGAGCAACCGCTGAAACCTGCACCACCGCCGATCGTGACGGTGCACAAATCCGGTGGATACAGCGGATACAGTTCTACCACGACGCAGGGTCACAGTAGCTCTAGCTACAGTAGTTCAAATATTAAACACAACAGTTCTTCATCTTACAGGGTAAGCGTGAGAAGAAAAAGCTATTTTACGAGTATACATTTTGGAACTATATGTATAAAATGACGACGATATCTAATGATCTCGTATCCGTCAGGCCACGGAATCCAGCAGCGTGTCGGACAAACGAAGCACGAAGAAGTACGGTCTCGACTCCACCGGTAGCCCATCTCGTTCCAGGAATACAACCAAAGAGTTGGCTTGTAAGTAAAAAAGAAGAAAAAGAGAAAAATTGCTAATTGCACGATGTGACTAAACACCGAATATCGATTTATAGATCCACCGGACGATTCGATGCGAGCACCGAAGTTCACGAAGGAACTGAGCGATCTGACGATCAACGATGGAGAACAGTTGGAGCTGAACGTGAACGTCGACGGAGATCCCGAGCCGCAAGTTACCTGGTCGAAGAACGGCAAGGTAAGCGTGTGGAAGAAATGAATACTCGAATCGCACTCGCATTGAATTTAAACGTGGAAATTTTGAATTTTGTTTAGACTCTGCGCTCGTCAGAGATCGTCAGCTTAAAGTACAAAGGCGGGGTGGCCACCCTCGTTATCAACGAGGTGTTCCCCGAGGACGAGGGCGAGTACAAGTGCCAAGCGACTAACAGCGTCGGCACGGTGACTACATCTTGCAGATTAACGGTGAAACGTAAGTGAAAATGACGAAAACAATACGATATGGAAAAGAGGAAGGTTGATTGAACGTTGCACGCGGATTTTCAGCGATGGCGGGCGCAGCAGCCAAGAAGAAGACCGACGACAAGCCGCCAAAGATCGTAGACCACTTGACGAGCATGTTCGTCAAGGACGGAGAATCCGTCCTTCTGAGTTGTCGAATAATCGACGCGAAAAAGTTCGACGTTGTGTGGCTTCACAACAATAAAGAGATCAAGCCCAGCAAGGACTTCCAATACAGCAGCGAAGCTAATATCTACAAATTGAACATTGCCGAGATATTCCCCGAGGATTCCGGCACGTACACCTGCGAGGCGTTCAACGACGCAGGAGAGAGTTTCTCGTCGTGCACATTAAACGTGCTTGGTAAGTATCATTATATATTCGGAACGGCCGTGTATAACGATTCGACGATCAGAGTCGAGTATTCACATTTCTCAATTGGAACTTTAATGATTGCGTGATCATAGTCGCAAACGAGGAACCGAAGAGTCCAGTCTTCACGACATTCCCGCAATCCGCAACGATAAGCGAAGGCGAATCGGTCACGTTCGTATGCAAGACAGAAACTGCCCCTCTGAAAGGTAAGATGCGCGTCAATTTACACGCGTGCATCGCGTGTTCGTACAATATAGTGTACTTATGCGTCGTGTTCTGTTGTAGTAACGTGGTTGAAAGATGGAAAAGCGATCCCGGAATCTAGCAGCAGGTACCTATTCAGTTCGGACGGTGACAAATCGTTCGAGTTACGTATAAAAGCGTGTACGGCCGGCGACGTAGGTCAATACGTGGCACGCGCAATCGGCAAGAAGGGCGAGACGAACGCTGCCTTCGCCCTCAACGTTACCGGTGCCAACGAGTGATGTTTCATGAAACCGTTGCTCGCGCGTCGTCGCGCGAATACAATTACCGCTACAGGCACACACCAGGTTGGCCCGCATCTACTCGTCCCGTCCTCTGCTACCAATTTTTTGTTAACCAATGACCCCTACTATGAACGAACCCTACTACTGACTGGCTGACTTCCTACTCTCTTTTCAGCTTTTCTCTAGCCTCGGCAGACAGACGGACGAACGGACGAATGGACGAACGGACGAACGGACGGACGGACGGACGGACGAACGGACGAACGAAATAGATGAACGGGGAAAATCGTGCAAACAGAAAAAATGTTGCCGAAACTATTTTATCTGCACGAGTTGGAAAACTATCGTACTTTATATGTAAATTAACCAGGAACGCTCTACGTATTTATTTGTTTATGTGCTTATCGTACCGCAAACGTTGCGTTATATGTGGCAAGGGGTAACGGAAGGATCCGAGGCGTTTTCGGCAACGATTACGGATAGCACGCGCGCGAACACGCTAATTCTTCGAGCTTTACCCGCGGTATACGACACGTACATGCGATAGTAGACGCGACGAGCCAGCACACGCGACTCGATCGCGCAGAACGGCAGTGTACATGGCAGTACAATGTATAGTAATATGATGGTATGACGACCAAAGAAACGGCCTTTCCCTATTCTACACAGTTACGATAATCGATCATAACATAATAAGAACAAGACGAGCAAGGTAGCCGCCAGCATCCTCATAATATAAACATAAAGAACGCATATTCCTTACCTTGCGGTCGGTGTGTGGATTATCGGGACTGGGAAAGGATCGACGCTGCCGACACAAACATCCTTGTTTCATGTAATCATTGTCGCGTTATACATGTTTGAAGACTGCTTCCGTAAAAGAATTTCAAATAAAAGATGACCCAAAGATACTCATGCAAGTGGCTCATTTATTTTCTTCGCCTTTAAAAATAATACAAAAACTTATAACTTGACCATAAATTAATTACTAGCAATCTACGTGAGTGTATCAATTTTCGACGGTATCGTACAAACTATCTGGATCTATGAGATCAAAACAATTGCCTTTCGGAACAAAAATATCGGTGAAATCATTATTTACCTCAGTGTGTATATGCAAACACAGATCCTCATCGCGTGGAACGATCGTCGTCATGTTAGAACTTAGGCCGTCCAGTATCAGGCGCGCGGATCTTACGCAGAGATTGTAACGAGTATTGGTGCTGTTTAGCGTAATCGAAATCTCTCGTATCTCCTCTAACTGATCGTCGTAGGGTATCGGCCTGTGTTCCACGTTGTTCACTGAACAGTTTTCTTGCTCGCAAGCAGACTCGACAGTAATTCTCGAGAGCGTCGTCTCGCCCGAATGATTGATGGCTTGATGAAAACAGTATCGCAGCAGTGTTGTTAGTATGGGAAATATATGGATAATCGAGGTCGATCGTATTTTTGTGGTATTGTATATTCACCGTCTACGAGCAACGTTGTCTCGCGCATAAGGAGGACAGATGAATTCGAAAAATTCATTGGTATACTAAGGAGATGCGATTGCGATCCATCATTGGTAAAAAAATAGACGTACAGCGCTGATTTGAGAAAAAATAACGCCCCGTTTGCAACGCAATGCGGGGGTACATTGATAAAAGTTTCCAAAATCCTTTCACCATCTTCCCATCTACCTGAAATTCACCACGTTGTCCTCGTTTGATTTCGATACGTTTCAACCCCGTTACTACCCTGTTTGCGATGGCGAAAACTCAATGTCAAACCTGTCTGTATATCGAGGATATCGACCGACTTTAACTGCAACCTATATTTTCCTACGCCACCGACAAGAACCAAATTGTTTCCGAGAAATGCTGCGATCATGTGCCTTCTCGGGGACGGCAATGTTGCTTGATAATACCACTTCTTAGATATAAGGCAATAACGTAAAATTATTTGATTAAATTTGCCAGTTCCAAAACCTGTCTCACCGCCGACAAGGTATATACTGAAACCTATATGTACATACGTCGGATGAACGCTGCTAATTTTCTTAAACGCACACTTGACAACAAGGCATACCTTTAGCAATAAATTGCATTCCAACTAAATGTTTTACAAATTCTGGTACATTTATAAATTTCTGGCCACTATCATTCCAAATGTACACATACGCAGTTTTGTCGGTATTTTCCTTACAACGCTGCTGATTACCAATTCGGTAAACGACGGACCCATGTAGTCTCTTTCTTTTTTTCTGGGAACGTACCACGTCTAAAGTCTAGAACAAGTAAATCGACTCTCACACACCATTGTATTTGGCAGCGACAAGACACATAAAACGATTGACCATTACCAAATTATTATATTTCGACCACTTGTCTGTTACACAATTCGTATCGATCGCAGGGATACTTTTATTTACATTATTTATTAGTCGAGTAAATTGATCCTTGGACAGTCGAACGACCGATTCGGTAGGAAGTTCTGTGAAACGATCCAAACAAACGGACATACAAATATCCCGCAATACCTTTACATTCAATTCCTCTGCCAATAACCATACATCAATCACTTTTCCTGGTAGTAACCAGTTTAAGGCTATAACGTCTACGATATCGCAAGTCAATTCGTCAGCCAAAAACAAAACGCTTAGTTCCAGTAGATTTAATAGTTCTGCGAAACGACGGTTTGCAAACTTTTCCATTGAAACTTTTAGGCGATTATGACAAATATCGGCGCAACTGTCGTCGTGAACCCATTCAATAAAATTCTACAAAGCAAAATTCATTTACGACAACAATTGGATGCCGGCGACCTGTTGCACCCAATGAATACATCCAACATGGAAATAACCTTCAAAGTGTGTAAGCAAATGTTGTAATTGATGATGTGTTCTTCCTTACGAGAATCATTAAAATTAGGAGATAAGAGAGACTCGAAGTAACGGCTCTTCTTCTCAACTTTTTGTTTATTCACCTTGAACCGTTTGTTCTTGAGAATTAAAGACACGTATCCCACCATTATCGTCGGCTACGGTGTTACGGTGGATTACAGGCGATTACAGGTGATCACCAGGAGGGTGATACTCTTGTAGGAGGATTGTTATTTCCACTATCACTCATTATTATAGTCTCACTTTCAATAACTTTCACGACTCTTACTGACTCTATTACTCCATGATGACTCCCACTGACTTACTCAGGTGCTGCCATCAAAACAAGTTATAACCTCTGGTTCTAACCTAACTTAACCAATAACCATGGACCTGTCAATAACCGCATCTCTGATCTGAACGTAAACAACATGGCGGATGATGGCGAATAAATGCAATAATCGCATATAGTACTCGTACTCAGTAGTGCTACACGTAGAATACATCGGTTGATAAACCAAGTTTTTAACTATGCACCGTCGTCACGGTCACATCATTTTTATTTACATGTAATTAGGCAAAGTGGTCGTCTGTAAAAGTAAAGGAGGCAAAGTGGACGAGAGTTGTTCAGGCCTGAACAATGTCGTCGGAGAAGGTGGGTTTAGATCACTGTCTGGGAAACATTTTAATCTATAAATAGCCATGCTAGACTATCAATTAGTGATGCGTAAAATATTTCGGCACACAGGTTCTTTATCAATTGTATCAACCTCATGGTACTGGTACCGTGTACATTTCTTGGCGTCCTGGCAACAGTACTCATTTAGCAACAACTGGATATGATTCCTCGGTCGCTATTTTCGATAGACAAGGCGATTTACAGGAACGAATTCAAATTTCTGGTTTATGCACTGGGTTTGGTTGGGATTCCGATGGAGATCTGATGGCTGTCATATCAGAAAATTCATCTGCCATCATTTTATGGGATGCAACGACAGGAAAGAAATCGCAGATAGATGCAGGTGTAAGAGATGGATTGACATGCCTGATATGGGCAAAGAGGACTTGTTTGTTAGCAGTTGGGACACAGAAGGGAAATTTGATACTTTACGATCATATAAATGCTAGGTAAACACTCTGTTTGTATCTGAGTGAATCTGAAAAAGTGGGAAGATAAACAGTATTATATGGATGTGTGCTGCTCACTACTTTACAGGAGAGTACCGATCTTGGGAAAACATAAGAAAAAGATAACTTGTGGTGCTTGGTCCTACGAGGGACTTCTTGCTTTGACAAGCGAAGATAAAGTCTTGACTATTAGCACAAGCGATGGAGATACGAAACGGGAGATACCTCTTCAAGGTGACGCGTCTGATATTCAATTTAACGAGATGAAGATGGACCATAGAGTCGGTGGTGAAAATACAGTACGATCAATTGTCACTTGGTTCCTGGTCCCTGATGAGTGGGGGGATATCGATTAATTTATTTGTCTGTTCTGCCCTAGGTATCGCTAATCATCAGTAAAACTACTTTGTTCTTGTACAACATTCTGGATCCAGAGAATCCGATTGAATTAGCTTTTCAAAAACGTTATGGATTCATCGTTACATACAAATGGTAGGCGCGACGACGGTACATGTGTTCGTCAAAGTGTAGCAATGATTCTATTGCGGTTACATCCTACGATATGTTCTGTGTGCTCTAGGTATGGAGATGGGTACATTTTAGTTGGATTTGAAACTGGCTATTTTACAGCGATATCTACGCATATTAAGGAAGTTGGTCAGGAATTGTTTCAAGTGAAAAATCACAGAGATTCGTTAACAGATTTGGCAATAAATCAAGTAATAGGAAAAATTGTTACGTGCGGAGATAATACTATAAAAATACACAATTTACAAAATTTGGAGGAAACTGAGAAATTGATCACGATAAGCGAAGGGGACGGTGGGATCAGTACGGTGGAATGGTCGATGGATGGTACAATGCTAGCAGCTGTCACTTGCAGTGGCAACGTTCTAGTTTACCTGATACAGATTCCAAAATTAACTAGCATTTATGGAAATAGAATTGCCTTGCTTACCAGCTTGACAGAAGTAACAGTTCATCTCTGTACGTTGGACAAGGTACATGTCGATCACGATCAAAAAGGTTTCCGGCAATGGACAACGCGGCAAACTGAATAATAGACAATTGTTATTGTAGGAGAAACCGCAACCAATAATAATTAATACTATAATAGAACCGTCGGTGATAGCGGTAGGTCCGTTGCACGTGGCAGTAGGGCTGAATAACAGAGCATTGTTCTGGGATATATCGGACGATCGTTATGATATTACAGAACACTTTGAAAGAGATTATCTAGCCACGATAGACAGTATACGATTAAACGAAGCTTACGTATCAGTTTTATTTGATGGCAAATTGCAATTACACTCGGTAACACACATACACACACAAGTATCACTCGACGTCGATACGTTAAAATGTTTCACTGTTCTGTTCCGTTGCAGATCAAAGTGGATCAGGATAAATTAACCAAATATGGGAAAGATACAAAAATGTTTCCCGGCTTGAGCACTACAGACCGCTTTAAAATAACCTGCCATGCCCTTGGTAGTGACTTTTTAATTTACGGTACCGATGTAAGTTTTTCACACAAGATTTGTCGTTTCAAGATACATTACCAAGATAACTAACTAATTAACCATTTATCTAATACCGATTTCGTATCTCGTTCAGATGGGCCATGTAATCTATTTTAATCTAGACGTATTTAATCAGTCTACCGAATATCTGCATGAGAACGGTATACAGGAAATCTATGCAGACGCAAATGGAACGCAATTGTGCTTTGTAGATAACAAATTTGACGTTTATTTGTACAATCCCGTGTACGAAGTCATTTTACAAGTTTCCGATTGCCCGGACTCTGTTCAGGGTGTGATTTGGGATCAGAATATTTTCGAACGTAACATATTTGCCGTTTACAATAAAAATGTTATTACTACGTACATATTTGTAAAATATTCTATCGAAGGTGAGACTAACGATTATGTTAATAATTGTCAGTAGTTCTACTATTTGAACACACATATTTTTCGTGCAAAACAGGTGAGAACATTCTGAAAATAACCACGATGAAATTACCATCGGAATCGTTACCGTTGTTGATGTATTCTGGAGAATTGACATTGTCTTCGGCAAGTAACAGACTGACGCAGATCACGTTATCGTCTCACGAAGATGTAGGAAATATCGTGGATGCCACGAAAACGAAGCAAGTGTTGGAAAATCAAATACTTTGCAGGAGGTGAATACATGCCGTTTTTTTATTACGGCGACAGGATCGTTCCCTGTATGTCTGCCCATCTCGTTCTTTGTATCAGATTTCGACAAGCATGGACTACGTGCGAAAGAATTAACGAAAAGGAATCATGGTTGAAACTAGGAGAGAGTAGCATCGCCAGTTTAAACGTTGATTTCGGTACACATATATTATTCGATCTCTCGGGATCGCAAGTATACGTCGACGACATCGAAGAACGGTGGAATTCTAGAAATCTATTTTATTCTCTCTCTTTCTCTGCGTTATAGCCATTCGAGTGTATCGCCACTTAGAAGATGCTTCGATGGTTTGGGCTTTGGAAAAAATGGAGAATATCGATGAATTGCCGTTGTTATGCGGACACGCGTGCATCTTGCTCGGTGATTATAATCGGGCAGAAAAATTTTTCTTACAATCATCAGAACCGGTACAAGCCTTATATTTAAGGAGAGATCTAATGCAATGGGAGCACGCGTTAAACTTGGCCCACAAATTAAAGGCTGATGAAATTCCTTTCATCGCTAGAGAATATGCTCAACAGTTAGAATTCACGTGAGCATGTATAACGTTAAACAAAACTATTTGGAGTACCGCGCGATTGCACACAGGTATTGAAATCGTGAAATAATTTTAGAGGTAATTATCCAAAAGCATTGACAAATTACGAACGCGGATTAGTAGACATCATAAAGAGTGCATCCAACATGCCACCGCCGCATGTGCATCGAAATCTGTGCCTAGCTGGAATCGCGAGGATGTCCATCAGATGCGGCGATAGCAGAAAAGGCGTAAACATAGCTATGGACAGCGACAGTTCGAGGCAGCTGCGAAGAGAATGCGCAGAGATATTGGAATCGATGAAGCAATTTAACGAGGCTGCGATACTGTACGAGAAAGCCGAATATTTCGACAAAGCAGCTTCCGCGTATATAAAATTGAAGAATTGGCAGAAAGTTGGACAGCTTCTACCGCAAATTTCATCTGCCAAAATTAACATACAGTACGCTAAAGCGAAGGAAGCCGAAGGTAAATACGAGGACGCGGCGAAAGCGTACGAGACTGCGAAGGACTACGAGAACATAATACGAATAAATCTGGAGCATCTGAACAATCCAGCGCGAAGCGTCGAAGTGGTGCAACAAACGAAAAGTGTAGAAGGTGCTAAAATGGTCGCAAAATATTTTCAGAGGATGAACGATTATAATTCGGCGATCAAATTCTTGATCTTGTCGAATTGCCACGAGGAAGGATTTCAATTGGCTAATCAACATGGGAAAATGGAATTGTACGGAGAAATTTTGATAAACACTATCGAGGGCGAGGAGAATGCACGGAGGGAAGACTTTAAAAGTCTCGCGGTCCATTTCGAATCGCAGAAAAATAATTTTTTAGCTGGGAAGTATTACTTCCATGCTAAAGAATATCAGAAAGCATTGCGGCATTTGTTGAAAGCTGCGCAATTGGTGTCGGACGAAAACAAAGTTCTTTCGTTGGCGATCGACACGGTTGCTTCTTCGAAAGATGACAAGCTAGCAAATCAGCTGATTGACTTTTTACTAGGCGGAGACGGACTACCGAAGGTAATGTGGGATACAGGGAATTTCGTTAGGTATTACTATCATTGAATTTAGACGACTTAACTTACAATCAGTACATTTTCCAATCCCGTGCAGGAACCGAAATACCTGTTTCGTTTGTACATGGCTAGAAAGCAGTACAAGGAAGCAGGGAAAACGGCAATTATAATTGCAAACGAGGAACAAGTTAATGGTACGATTTGTAAACTGTTTGAATAAACATTCTTGTAATGTAATGTAACGTAATCGCATTTCACAGGTAATTATAGAAACGCTCATGATGTTCTCTTCGGTATGTATCAAGAACTGAAAAGGAATAAGATCAACATACCCTTGGAGATGCAAAATAATTTAAGACTGTTGCATTCATACATTCTCGTCAGGCTTCACGTAAAAAAGAACGATCACTTGCGCGGTGCTCGTATGTTGATAAGAGTGGCGAATAACATATCGAAATTTCCATCACGTCGGTAAAAGATGTATAGTTTGAATTGCATTGAACGCAGAGAACCTTCGGACATTGATCGTAATGATGATTTGAATTTGTAGATATCGTTCCAATTTTGACGTCCACCGTGATAGAATGTCAAAGAGCTGGATTGAAATACGCAGCGTTCAATTTTGCCGCTATATTAATGCGTCCAGAATATAGAAATCAGATCGACCCTAAATACAGTAAAAAGATCGAAGCGATCGTGAGAAAACCGCCAAAAGCGAAAGACAGCGAACTCGAGGACGAACCGTTGACTCCGTGCCCATACTGCAAGAGTAAATTAGCAGAGACCGAAATCACTTGTGACAAGTGCAAGAACACGATACCATTCTGTATAGCTACAGTCAGTTTTGCGCTCGCATCTCTACATTTTATTCAAATTCGACATTAGTTTTTTTAAGGACGGGGCGATATTAATCGCACGATCATTTTCAGGGTCGGCATATCGTTGAAGATGATTTTACAGCGTGTCCGCGATGCGATTTTCCTTGTATAAGGACCGAATTCTTAAGGTATGTGTACATGTATATCACATCTTTGACAATGGATACACATTTAATTTTGATCGAATCAGGATCATCGAATCGGAGGGAACGTGTCCGATGTGTTCCGAAAAAGTAGACGGCAATATGGTTTCGTCTACGCTCGACATCGGCCCTTATCTGAGTTTCCCAGAAGCAACAAATTCTCAGTAAAAATTGCTTTGCTCATTTAACAATCAATCAAGTGATTTAGTAAGAATATGAAATCGGTGCCGTCCAACATCAAGTACAACCGACAGTTGCGAGTACAAGTAGTTTGCGTCTTATAAAAGATAGCTTTATAGGATATTTATTAAATTTGTGCACGAATTGAATAATGCTCACGGAGAGAATTATCATCAACAATGTCGTCTCAATAAACTAGACTCAAGCAATTATGACTACTGATTCAATTTCTCTTGATTTGTTACTTGTAAATGGAACGATACGTATAATACTAACAATCTTGCAAAATCCTAATGTCTTATGCCGCGCTTTTATTCAGAGCTGTGTCGTACATGCATATTTTTGTTATATAAGCTTGGTGTGTCTACACATATCCTCTGTCTCGACATTGATAAGAAAAATCGACGGTTAATGTGGTGTGCGTAAATTAAAACACATGTTATCAAGATTCCTGCGCGCGCGCGCGCGCACACACACACACACAACAATTACACACGGAAACGTATGTACAAAGATGACAGCATGGCATGACTTTGAAAAATTCAACGTTAACACGCAGTATTTCTTTCAGCGATCGTCGATAAACTAACATCATTTCTCTCAATTTGTGTTCAATTGAAAAGAATCGTTTCTCCAAGTCGTAAATAAAATTGATTTTGAAAACAAACATCTCATTGAATACGTACAATAATTCTACATATAACACGCAGTATCGAATATATATGTATGCAAATATATGTATAATGTATATACATATGTATATATAGTTTTTATGATAATTAAGCCTGAAAACTAATTAGAATATGAAATTTAACATTTTTTCTAATACCTCATGATGAATTACTAATTACAACTACGTGATAATAGTGCATTATCTGCATTAATATTAAAACGCTTGTAACCCGTCAGTTTCTGGTAAGCAATGATACCAATAATAATAATATTCTTAAAACTAATATTATATGACGTTCATATAATGTACTATGGGTATAATGTATAAATACTGTCAAAAATGATATATCCTGAAAGTATGTATAGAAATATCTAGGAAAGCATATGCGCGAGTGACAAGTATGAAAAGCAGTGTTCTTGAAAGATAGATTGTATTATTTCGTCTAAACAACTAATCGCAAGTAAGTACGTCAAGAAATAAAAAACGAGATTCTACGATGTAAGAGCAAGCAAGTGGTGGGGCATGTCAAAGTATGTATCACTGTATGAGGGTTACTTACATACGTATAGGTATAACAGTATAAGAGCAGGTATGTACATACATACGTAGGTATATGATAGTAGGTGTACTGGTGCCAACAGTGTGGTTGGTGAGTCGAGTGGCGAGGCGAGGCGAGTGTGTGGTGAACACCGAACACCGGTATGTCAGCTCACTGGCAGTACGTAATTGAGGTTGTACAGGAACTGTGTGAAGCGGTACATTTGAAAGACAGCAATTTGCACTTACCGAGGGATCGTCCTGAATTTATTTTCAATACGTTCAATAGGAGCGTAAACAGGAAATAAATTGATTGTACAGCGATAAATACCGTGAGTTAATCTTCGTGTCGACACGAGAGCTGGTGGCAGCAAAATGGCGGAAAAGAATGACTCGCCGGGTTCCACGACTTCCACCGGGCAAGAAAGTCAACAATTGTTCACGAGTTTCATAGGGGAGATCGTAAAGAGTCCGATAAATCTCATTTTAGTGGGCGTGATCGCGCTCCTTGTTTACAAAATTGTCAAGAACAAAACGAAAACGGAGGAGCCCGTAAAAGAAGTAAAGAAACTGCCAAAGTTGCGACGCGATTTCACGCTCGAAGAATTAAAAAAGTACAACGGTACGGGACCAGATGGGCGAATATTAATCGCTATAAACGGTAGCGTTTACGATTGTACGCGCGGTGCCCACTTCTATGGCCCTGGTAAGCGTTTAACAACTCTCAATTATGCGCCGCTATTATTTTAGGCCGAACAGCGACGGGCGTAGATAACGTTTCGATAATGGAATAACATCGCCAGTGTTACATGAATTTTCAAAGTTCGCAGAGTCCTCATTCTTATTCTCATTTTCCTTCTGAACATTAACCAGCTCGCGATAGCAAAAAGATGCAATTTCTTTATTGTCGTCGGTTATCACCGGCTTACGTTTTACATAAATACATAATCGTTACAAACATCACGCGATCGTGATGAATGGGAACGAAGAAGAACGTCATATTACTTGAACGACTCGTTTCATCGCGCGATCTATCGTCGGCAGATAATGAAATTGATGTAATGATTAGAACAGAATGATTATTTTCGAATTCGATCAAGCTTAGCATAGCGGAAGCTACTCAGTACAACTTTTTGCTACTCACGTTACACACAGGTGCTCCGTACGAAGTGTTTGGTGGTAAAGATGTCAGCAGAGCACTAGCAACATTTTCTTTGGAAACAGCACAGGAATACGATGATCTGAGTGACCTGAAGACCGAAGAAATGGAATCTATGAAAGAATGGGAAGAGCAATTCAAAGGTAATAATTATTAACTGACTGACTGATTAAAATAAATAATTTTGTATAATATACATGAGAAAAAATAAGATATAAATCAAAAGATATCTCAAAATAGATGGTAGTCGTGTGTTTTTATGTTAATACGGAATGCATGCATGGAAGAAAAATTCGTCGTTACATTTTAATTTATGTGAATCGAGGTCAAAGTCTAATAACAGTTTTGCATTACATCTGATAAGAGGTTCCAGGAAAAATAAAACATTTATACATAGAGACAGCATTACTAATTCTTAGCGATCGGTTATTGTCTTTATGTTTCATCCTCTAATTTTAGAAAAATATGATTACGTGGGAAAACTACTGAAGCCTGGTGATGTACCTACAAATTATTCGGACGAAGAAGACGAAGGTAGTCAACAAGAGAATGAAACAAAGTCCAAAAACGATTGACTGATTGACCATCGTTTACCACCAAATGCCAAACAACAGCAGTTTCAAAAGGATATTGCGCGCACATCGTTCTATAAGGAACTCTTCAAAAAATCGTGGCTGATAGATATATTTGTGGATATTCATTTGGATATTTCGGACTATACTATATAAGATGGAACGCGATGGGAATGGAATATAAAAACAAAAGTGGTCAGTCCTTCGATCGAAAAGTACGTAAATGTTCAAGAAGCTGATATTAAGTGTAAAGACTGGGTATCCTGCGTGGGGGTAACTTTCTTGCGTTCGAAACACCAAGGATGCTCCGATAGTATAATGTTTTTATATATGTACAAAAGATTTGTTACACAGATCCTTAAAGCTGACACTAGACGCGATGTATGACAGAACTTTTCATCTATATTCCATTATCGAAAAATATCCTTGTTTACGATGTCACTCGCGTCTTGTCTCGTAGCATTTGGTACTACATATTACATATATGTATTCGGTATCTATCAACTTTAATAAAATGGTGTTATATTTGATACGCATTTCAAGTTTAATATTAAGTTAATATAGCACTTTGCATACTTTTATTATGGGAACAAAGTCGTTTATTATAAAAACATTATGCTTGTTAATAGAAATGGAACGATATCACCTTCAAATGAATTCGTACAAAAAATCGTACAATCTCTATCGGAGGTATTGAATGAAAATATAATTGCGAAGCAGCATCGTAGTCCCAATTCTGAATTATGAACGCGTAGAAAATTGTATTAAAATCACATTTGGAGGTTTATAAAGAGTGATACACGATTGCTAGTCTTTTTTTTATACAATCAATAGAAATGGAAATACATTCTGCTGCTACTGCTGCTGCGAAACACTGTGTATGTGCACGCGTGTGCGTGTGACGCGGCACGATGAACGTGAACATCGATGTGCCCGTATAAACTGTTATTGCTTTTCAAAACAGGACTTAAAAATTATTGGTATTTCCAGTTGCATTGTTTTTAACCCTTGTGTACTTGTTTGTAAAATATTTTAAATAATGCGCGTCTTTTTAATTATTTTTCCAATTTAATGTCATTTTAATTTAAGCAGTACAATTCCTCCACAATAAGAATACATGTGTATAATTTATATGTAAACATAGAAGAGAAATTACGAATCGGAATTCTGAAAAATGTCGGATTGCGTTGTTGAACAAAGTAACGATATTATCAATTTTATATAATAAAGGCGTTGTTAATATAAAAGAACCACATGTCCTGTTTTATCTGTGCGAAACAAACGTTCCATCGATTGATACCACATTCTATAGTAAGTAATAATGATGATGCTAATGCATATTTTTATACGTGTATACTTATTATTTTAATTTGTACGAAAGTCCTTGCTCAGATCGAAACACACGGTAGTTCGAATCAAGTTAATTCCAAGTTGCATATTCAAGCATTTAGCGTTATATTAATTATCTCAATAGCTATTATTATTATTATCATTACTATTATTATTATATAAGATCGTTTGTAAAAAATTTAGACACTGTTATTGTAAAGCATACTTTCTGTAATTATCCACGAGCTGTAGAGTGAAACAGTTTATGTTTATGACATGGCGGATTTAGGTATACACGCGTTATTATACATGTACATACATATAATCAATTGCAACATTATTCTCCTTTATATTAAAATATAACTGTTCTTTTCACGTTTGTACTTGATTTGATTCCCTTCACCGTTTTGGCCAACGAACGTTTCAAACAAATTAACGCCGTAGTCAACGATGGCGATCGGTCATTGCACTTTTCGTCGATATTTTTCGTTAGAAATATACAATGTACGATTAGTACGAAACTAAAAAGATACTTGCATCGCGTGTATCAATTAGTTGCATCGGTTCATTGAAGAAAGCGATGAGAAATCGATCGTGTGATAGAATTACAATGAATAACATAGAAAGTCGTAAAGAAGAAATGCGGTTGATGGTATGATGCATCATTTAACACCGAAGCATGTCGTCTAGCAAACAGTTACGTAACACTCGAATAAAGATTACGCGTATCGATAGGTTTTTCGGATTTCCTCTAGTTACGTTTATAGAATGTGCTCTTTGCCTTCGGAGGGCAGAACAGAGTTATATTTTAATTTTAAGATTCCAACAAGTCTGATAAGAGACGTGCGACCGAGACCGAAAACGTATCTTCTGGGAAATGGAAACATTGTCAAAGATACAGCGTTGCATATCTCTTCGGTGCGTTAATATAAAGGAACAGGTTTCTCCGTTCGAGAGCTAACCGAAAGTGATATACACGCGCTAGACATAAACGATGCTCAATATCATAAAAATTCCTAACAAAGAAACGTTCATCGTACATGTAGTACATAACTATCATGATCGAAGGACTCACAAGATCAATATAATCAAAGGAAATAATACAGGACGAGCAAACAGCAACACATATGACAAAGAGTCGCTGTCAGCGAGATGGGTGGCTAGCTGGCTGCTACCACGCCGTTATCCAGTTCCCGTCCCATTTCCAATACTCCCTCTCTCTTCTCGCGTTCGCCTCTCTTTGCACAATGATGCCTACTATTCCGTTGTATTCCGTGCGTGTCGATACGCATATTTAACTTGAAACAGCGAGAATTACTTATATTTTTGTAAGCAAGGTTCATTTTATTTATTCGCCATATGTATTGTTGAATGATGCCGAAAATATTTTGAAGAGATACATGTAATTTTATGATGCAGCATATATACAATACGAAAGCTTCCTCGACGAAAGATGACTGTATGTACATACATACACATTTACGCTTACAGTTCAGATTCAATGCGTTGTAAATGACTGAACGTAGGAAGTAAAAATTGTATAATAGTGCACGGCGTAACGCGAAAATCAAGAAATTCCTCATTCGATATTCAAAGTAGAAAGCAGCAGGTGATCACACGAATTATTGTTCCGACGTTCCCCAGCAAGCAACGTACGGAAAGCGTACTTATAGGCTAGAGTGGCAGTCAGCGAGACGAGAAAAGCACGACGACGACGACGACGACAGGACATCGAATGCATTATATGCATACAGATATCGTGATTTTCGGGTTGCTTTACTTTAACGTAAACGCGATGTATATAAATTGGTAGCCGTCGCAAATCTATTCGAAGAAGCATGTTAAAACGTATTACAACCACTATGCACGCTGTGTACCACCCGCAGCCGGCTGCGGCTGCTGCGGTAACATTTATCGAATGGCGCCGGTGCGATGGTAGCGACAGTGGAATAAACGAAACTGCTGGCGGCTGTTGGACCGGCGGCGTGAACGCAACCACGGCGTTTGTGGCCTCGCATCCATCGGGCCAACAGGCACCAATGGTGAGAAACGGATCAGTCACGTGACCAGGTGGACCAATCGGACGGCCGATCTGAGTTCACGGCAACCATACGGAGCCAGTCGGACATTTTCTGACAAGCGTAGAAAAACTTCTCGTCAACAGCAGCCGCCATTTTACGTTAGCCGATACTCGTGCGGTGCGGAACTCTCGCGATCGCTTTTCCCGAGCGAATTTCTGTGGCGCGCCGTGGCCGCCCCGGAACCGACGAATTCCATCGTCTTCGCCTCCTGGCGTCCGTGATTGCCTCGAATGTGCGGGGAAAGCGAACCGCGTTCGCGGTGATCGTTCGCGCGCCCCGTGTCGCAGTGTGCCAAGGCGAGAGAGAAGAGGAGAGGAAGATGGTGCCAGCGGGCCTCGAGAGCGATATCGTTGCTGTGAGCTAGCGCCGTGCGCGCAGCCAGTCCGCCACACTCGAGTGTTTGACGAGTCGTGTGCGATCGACTAAACCGAATACGACTACATTAACGCGCTAAAAAACTCGTACGGTGGTGTGTGCGTTATTAATTCGAATCTTCGAGCGGTGAGAATTCTCAGGATTGCTACCGCGACGATAGTCCTGTGATACAATTTCTCCGGTCTGTACCGTGTTCGCGCGAGTGGCCCGTGCACCCGTCGTCGAAAACGGTTTACTGTGTGTGCGTGCGTGTGTGTGGGCTTTAGCGCGGGGTTCGACGTACCCCCGACGATGCCCAATGGTTGATCGTGTACTGAAGCGTGCTCGGGGACGCTCCACGCGCCGCGGTTCTCATTGTTATTGTCATGCCTGCGAATATGCCGAGAGGTTGGTGAGTTTTCACGGTTTCACCGAGCAGGAGGAGGAAGTAGCAGCAGCAGCAGCAGCAGCGGCAGCGGCAGCAGCAGCAGCAGGAGTAGCAGTGGCAACAGCAACAGCAGCGGCGGCAACAAAAACAGTAACAGCAGCAGCAGCAACAACAGCAGCAGCGGCAGCGAGAAACAGCGATCTTCTAGTGGCGTAGTGCAGCGTTGTGGCCCGTGTGTGTACACCCGTGTATACGTGCCTGCGTGCGTGCCTGTCTGCCTGCGTGCGTGCGTCGTGCGTGCGGTCGTCCCGACTTGCTGCCGCCGCCGCCGCCGCCGCTTACTTGGTACCAAGAGTAAACACAGTCTGAGACAACAAGGAATAATTAACCCTGAAAAGAAACCATGGCCGACCACCTGGTGGACGGGCCGCCGAATAAGCGGCCGAAACTCGGAGATCCTTTTCAAGGAACTTCGGATTCCGCGGGTAAGTTTTCTTATTACGATTAGCAACGTTCATACATTTTCGTCGACTAATTCCTGGTCGCAGGACTAGTCAGGGTCGCGACTAATCTTACTACGGGAAGTAAACGTCGCAAGTAGCACATGAGCGTTCTTTTCTGATTACGCGCGATGTGCACATGTCTCGCTGTCTGGCCTTTTCAGAAACCACCTATACAATATAGTATTCTACACGCTGTCTACCCAAAAAAATATAATGCCACCGTCCGTAAACGGGTGCAAGCTTTGAGCAAAATTAATATCCTGTCAAACGTTGTTGGCGTTTCTTCGTCCTGTCCTCGTGCGCAACCGACATTTACCAATCTTTTGTTCATTCTGGCCGTCGTACGTACTTACAATTAGTTAGAACTCTGTTTACGTTTGGCGATCTGTTCGATTTAAACGAGACTCCATAAACGTAAAAATTCGTGTGTTTTTGCAAACGACGACGCTCGGTACGATGCCCCTTTCTCGACGAATCTACCGACAACAAACCGAAACTGTTTTTTCACTTATTGTAGTAACTAAATGTTAACTGAAGGAATTCCGTCTTTGATCATCGATCGTGTATTAATTTTGCTCAGAGGCTATACATGTATGTAGGTATAGAGATTGTCTGACGTTTGAAAAATAATTGTTGGCATTTAAATAATATAATCTATATCTGAACTTCTGTCTTGCAGCACGTACACTTTCTCTCATTTAAATTTAACCTAAACTAAATAATAGTATTGTGTAAATTTTTTTTAGTCGTTATCTTTAATTAGATTAATAAATTTAGCCCCCATTTTATTTTTGTAGTGCATGGCAAATGCATGACAGTTTGAAGTATTAATTAAAAACAACAATATTAAGCTGGCATGATCGCTAATCATCTCCTTATTGTCTCTCTTGTATTTATTTTAAATGGTGATCTGACCTTAACAGTTTCTGAACTCGATAATAATTCATACAATAATCCTACATTGAACTACAATAATGACTGCGTCGATTAAATATTTGATGTTACCGGGCGCGCTCGCGCGCGCACACATACACACACATACAAAAGATTTACATAAAGTAGTTAGGTATACGCAAAGTAAGTGGCAGACATAGTCTTATTTCATTCTGGTATCAATCTGGTACGGGCGTACGTATCGCATCAGATTCAGAATTTAATGGTGTGGTGGTGGTGGTGGTATAGTCGCATCGGTTTTGTTTTTGATACAGAAATTTAGTAGGCTGTTTCTGCTGCTTAAAAGCTGCGCGATCCGCAGAAGGCATAGATAGTTCTTCCACAGTCTGAAATAAAAACTGTGATATATGTAGTGGGTATGGCGCCTCTAATGATGCACCATGCTTATACAAACTACGGGGGAGGTGGCAATGGTAACATACAACAAATGCAGGGCCCGCCACAACAGCTACATCTGCAACAGCATCAGCTGCAGCCACATTGGAACAACCATACCATCCAGAAAAGAAGTAAATATTATTACAAAATCCAGCAAAAAGTTCGAAAGTACTAAAATCCGATACTACAGAATTTGTCTGTCCTCATTCACCTCATTCTTGTTGGTATCGCGTAAAGTTGTAAAATCATTTGATATCCAGTTTATGTCATAAGATAATAGTAATAATAATAATAATAATAATAATAATAATAATAATAATAATAATAATAATAATAATAATAATAATAATAATAATAATAATAATAATAATAATAATAATAATAATAATAATAATAATAATAATAATAATAATAATAATAATAATAATAATAATAATAATAATAATAATAATAGTAATAATAATCAGTCATCAATCTTTGTATCAAAGATACGTGAGTATATATACAGCAGGTGTGTACATCCACCCAGCAGTTTTGGCATAATGTCACTATGGTTCATGATCATGACAAGCAAAACGTATGAAAACGAAAATCGATCGTTACATTGTAAAACTTACGACGATTAAAATAGATAATATTTATGTACACAGTATATGTTTAAGGATAAATAAAATGTAACGAATTTATCCAAGTATCTATTCGCTGCAATCGCACAGTAGTTTCGTTTATAATTAAATACTGGAGAAAAATTGGATCATTACAGAACACTTCAACAAACAAAATTGATGAAGACAAGAAAATGTGTGAAACGATAACGACTCTAACTGAAAATGTTTTAAGGACATGCGACACACATGTACAGAGCTTTCAAATTTTCTTATTAGGCGTATAAGCGACGATGATTTTGAAATAAGAATAAATACGACTACTGTATCTTGTGAAATACGAAAATAAAAAAGTGGTCGGTGGTTGTGAGGGTAGGTTGTAGTAGGTGACCACGGCGGTTCCCTATAAACGATTGTTCACGAAATGTGGTCTAAATCGTGTATTTAAGAGTTCCAGAAACATTTTTTAAACGTTACAGCATTAGAAAGTACTCGATTTACAACAGATGAATGTAAATATTCTTTAGAGTGACTATATGATTTCTTTGCATGACTGTCTACTCTAAAGTTTGCCCATCGGTAGCTTTGCTGCTGCTGCTTTTGTAGTTCGGCACGTCTTTATTGTGAAGAAATTTTTTTATTCCGCTATAGTATAAATCTCCTTTCAGTTATGCTCACACACAGTGTATGTCTCATGTCTTATTTATTCATGTATTTGTTTGTTTTCTATATATTTACATGTAGTTTGTTGTAGAATCTTATCGTTTCATTTTCTTTTTTTTAAAAAACACACACACACAGACACACACACATTTTTTGTTAAAATTTGCATTTGACCCCTTTTTTCTCCATTGTTGTATGGTGATCCGTGGATATAGTCAAGTAAGTTAAAAACGTACTTTTGTATGTGAAAAACGTTATTGAATTGAATTGAAACACAACGGTAGGCCGTCGGTATTCATAAATTGAACAAATGCAATTTTTCGTAAAATTAATACAGAATATGTACATAAACGTCTTAAACGCGTGTGCATGCGTGCGTATATGTGCTTGTATATTATTTACATGCAGGTATATTACACGCGACACGCATCAGACAATAGTACATGATGCGGTAGCCGGCAAAGATTTTACTACACACGTACAAATCTTTGAATAAAAGCTATGGTGACGGTGCTGAATCTTATCTTTATATTATTACTACTAATGGTTTTTTGGTCTCTATGGTATATGTTACATTCGTTTAATCAATCATGATCCGACATCTTAATATCTCCTCCTACCACTGGTTACCTAGAAAAGTCAAATCACCTTTACAAATCGGCGATTCCGATCGTATAAATTCTGTAGGCCGAATCCGAAACTGATCTACTTTTGAAAATATGTAGTATGCTCGCGATTGATATTAGAGCACGGCCAGCGCTTACGACGATCAGCCGTTTTACTTTTGTAGTAACCAGTATGTTTTACAGCGCTATTCACGCAAACGGAGTATGGTTATTAATGCGAGTGTTTATTCTCAGATTACATAACAAACACAGATATGTTTGATCTTGAGAATGATCTCCCGGACGATCTATTGTCATCCGCATCTTGGGGTTCCGCTACTGAAAGTGCTAAACCACCGGCAACGGGTCCGGGGCCAGGGCAACAAAACGGTGCCCTTGATTCAGAGCTGAGACAGCATGTGCAGCAGCAACAACTTTCGCATCATTTGATACAGCAGCAGCAGCAGCAACAGCAGCAGCAGGTTCGTAGGCGAACCGTACGTATTGTACCATGCGTACCCGCGCCCACCCTTATACAATTACGCTGCTTAATTGGTATTCGTTTCTTTCTCTCGACAGGGCAACAAGAACTTGGTTTCTAATTCTTTAGTTATGGCTGCTGGAACTTTGGGTAACAAAAGTCCGAACATGCAATCTCCACCAAATGTTTCTGTCTCCAAAGTAGTCGATTCGCAAATGGTCGTAAGCCTGGGAAATTTACCAAGTAGCATAGCCAGTTCTTTGGCAAATAATCAGATGTCTATTGCAAATTCAATGGGGAACCTTCAGTCGTCAATGAGCATGGCTGGAAGTAATCCCACCATGTCGATGCCAGGTGGAATAAATTCTGGCTTAGTTATGACCAGCAGTGCTAGTGGAAATAACAATAGTATGGGCGGGATGGCAGGAGGAAGTTTAATAGTAACCAACAGTTTGAACAAACAACCTTTAAATACCGTAAGTAGCTCGTATCGATATCATCTAAACTACTTGTTGAGATATATACATGTATAAACAGATACCGCCGCTTTGTAGTAGAACATGCGAGATTTGACAACTTCATTATTCGTGTGTGTGTGTGTAGGTAACCATGATGGGTGGTCCGAACACTCAAGGAATTCATCATCCCAGCGGACCGCATGGAGTTGCTCAAATGCAAAACGGACCTGGTATAATAAATACCAGAGCTGTGGCGATGCAGCAACAACAGCAGCAACAACAAGCTCACATGGTTGGACCGGCAGCAAGGGGTCAAAGTCCTCATCAAGTGCATAATGTCAATCTCGTTGGTCCTGGACAAGGAGGTCCAAGGATGCAAGCACCTCCGAATATGCCGAATATGCCGAACATAGGACAAATCGGTGCGTCGAGTCCCTACGGTTATGGTAAGTACAATAGCGTAAGCATTCACGCACGAGTATGCGTGGGTATGTCAGATTCGTCAAACTCGTAAACTAACGACGATCAGAGAACTGTGGAACTCGAACCACGCGCGCGCGCGTTTTCTTTCATGCAGGATCTCCAGTCAGCGCGCAAGGGCCCGGAGTTGCCGTGTGTACCAATAGTCCGGCTGGTGTTGTTACACCGCAACAGAAAGGAGTAGGAACAAGTATGACTGCCATGCAAGCTGCTGGTAGATTTGGAGGAACCGCAGGCCCGATCGGTTCGACAAATGTCATCGGCGGTGGTCAAGAAGGTGGAATGGCCCAACAAGCTCAACCTCCTGCTCCGAGTCCAGCACAACCTCAGTCCGGTGCACCGAGCGGAGGTCAACCTGGCCCGCAACAAGCTACTCAGGGCCAAATGCCCGGTACCGGTGCTCCGCCGACTGGTAATTATCGCGATCCGAACTTCCAATATCGCCGCTGAATTACTCGAGCTCCGTGTGCGATTCGATCAGTAAATATATATTACACATGTTCTCATTTGTTCTCCTCTTTCTTGTCGTGTTGATCAGGTGCTACGAAATCGACCGCTGATCCAGAGAAACGCAAACTTATACAACAGCAATTGGTTCTCCTGCTCCACGCGCATAAATGTCAACGGCGTGAGAGTCAAGCAAACGGTGATGTGTGGCAGTGTTCGTTGCCAGACTGTAAGACTATGAAGAACGTGTTGACTCACATGACCGCTTGTCAAGCGGGAAAAAATTGTACGGTGCCGCATTGTAGCTCTTCGCGACAGATCATTAGTCATTGGAAACATTGTGCCCGTAACGATTGCCCCGTGTGCTTACCACTGAAGCAAGCGAACAAAAATAAAACGACGAACGCTACCCCCGCGACTACGACGAATAGTCAACCACCGAACAGTCAACCGAATCCGAGTCAAACCGAGATGAGGAGAGCGTACGACGCGCTCGGCATTCCCTGTCCTACGACAACGGCTGGTTTGCCTTTGGTGGCTGGCCAGTGTGTTACCAGAAGGATGCCGGCACCAGGTATGCCGGGAGCACCTGGTGCGATGGGAAACGTACGACTGGCTCAACCTCAAACTCAGGCTGCACCGGGTCAGTCAGCTGTGCTGGTTGGTGGCGGTGCTGCTGGCCAGCAGCAAGTGGTTGCACCGAACGTGTCTCTTCCGCTGAATTCGGATCCGAACACGGTTGGAGTAACTGGTGGCGGCGGCGGCGGTGGCGGTAGCGGTGGTAGTAATCAAGCGACGCACACCAACGGGTCCACGCCTGCCGCAGCTGCGACTGCTGCGAACATACAGCAGTCCGTTAACATGCAGCAATTATTTGGTCTGAACGATTCTGGACAATTGAGCGTTTCGAACGAAAATAAATTAGCCAACCTCCAGCTTCCGGCTGGACTACAACCGAGCCAAGTAACGGCGACGTCGGTGCAAGAATCGAAAGATTGGCATCAAACCGTTACACCAGATCTTCGAAATCATCTCGTTCATAAATTGGTACAAGCAATATTTCCGACTCCCGATCCGCAGGCTATGCTCGACAAAAGAATGCACAATCTTGTCGCGTACGCGAGAAAAGTGGAAGGCGACATGTACGAAATGGCCAATTCGAGGTCCGAATATTATCATCTGCTTGCCGAGAAGATATACAAGATTCAAAAGGAATTGGAGGAGAAACGACAAAAGCGAAAGGAACAACAGCAGCAGCAACAGTTACAAGCCCAGCAACAACAGCAACAACCTCAACCGACCGGAACTGCAGCTCCGAGCTTAAGGCCCTGCGCTCCGCCTACCGTGGGTACGGTACCACCGTCCCGACCGATCGGAACAGTTACCCCTAGTCTGCGTAGTCACTCGCCGAGCCTGGGTCAACTGGGCGCTTTGCCCGCGATAAGCATTCCGCACAATAGAATGCAGTTTACTCAGCAGCAACAGCAGCAGCAACAAACGCAACAACCTCAAGTGCAGGTGCAAGCGCAAACGAATGTCCAGGCGCAGGTACAGGCTCAAGCCCAAGTTCAAGTTCAGCAACAAATGCAGCAGCAGCAACAAGGAATTTTAGTTGGCCCACCGGGTCCTAGTCCGAATGGACAGTCAACGACTTCGAATCCCAACGTTGTTCCAAACCCTGGACTCAGTCCTTTTGGGCAGCCGCAAATGTCACAAGCCAGTTTAACGACGACCACCACGTCCGCGACAACTAGTCAATTCCAAACCTCGAACGGTACTTCCGGCTTATCTAACAGTTCTCCTGTGCAAAATCAACATCTAGTTAGATTGGCTCAAGCTCAAGCGGCTATCGTGCATCAACAGCATCAACAACAACAACAGCAGCAGCAGCAGCAGCAAACTTCGTCGCAATCTCAGTCGCAACCGCAACAGCAACCGAGTCAAACGCAACCACAGCAACCTACGAGCAGTTCGAATCAAAGCGCAACGACGACCTCGCTGCCGCAAGCGCCGTCACCTTTCAGCGGCATTCAGCAGCAGAGTCAAAATCAACAGAGTCAATTCAACAATAGTCGACCTCTGTCGGTTTCGACGTCTAGCGACAATGGCATCGGGGGCACCTCGACCCCTCAAACGATTCCAGCTCCCGCTTCCAGCAGTGGGCCTAGTCCACCCGGCCCAATTACGGCAACGGTTAATGGACCTCAATCCGCGACTTCCACACCCAATACGCCGTTAGTTCCTTCGTTAATGACTACTCCCTCGAATCAGACGGTTTCTTCCGCGAATCAAACGCCACCTCATCCCGCTACGACGCCTTCTTCTGCTGCTGGACTCGCGAGCCTCGGGAAGGGCATGACGTCTCAGGAGAGAGCAGCATTAAACGCGCCGAGAACTTCGTCGATATCTTCGCAAATGGCTGCTATCACAGCTGCATTGGATCGTGATAATTCTCCTAGTCCACCGATGAATAACAATAAGGGAAAGCTGGATTCGATCAAGGAAGAAGGCATGAAGATGGAAATAAAGACGGAGGACGGTTCCGAGAACGGTCACAGGATGATGGATGGTGGTGGTAAAGGCGTAAACAACGAAGTGCCGCTTAAAACGGAGATAAAAACGGAGCCAATGGATGAAGGGTCCGGCAGCGAGGGTATCGTGAAAGAAGAATCCTCTTCTGCTGGTGCTGGTATAAAGGAAGAGCCCGTGACGCCGATGTCCAGCCAGGATGCAACGCCGGATATCAAACCCTTGGTTCCCGAACCGATACAACCGAGCGGGACATCGACAGACAAGAAACGATTGTGTCTGTTCAAACCCGACGAGTTGCGGCAAGCGTTGATGCCAACGTTGGAAAAACTTTATCGGCAAGATCCGGAATCCATACCGTTCAGGCAGCCCGTCGATCCTCAAGCGCTTGGAATTCCAGATTACTTCGATATCGTTAAAAAACCGATGGATCTCTCCACGATCAAAAGGAAATTGGACACGGGACAATACAGTGATCCGTGGGAATATGTTGACGACGTATGGATGATGTTTGACAACGCGTGGCTGTACAATCGTAAAACGTCACGCGTTTACAGATATTGTACGAAGGTAAACGAAAACGAAAATTCACTCACTCGTAATTTCAGTTTCGTGTGTCTAGTGTTGTCCTCCTAGTGTGTACGTGTGAACGAGATTGTTACTGTACTACTGTGTCTTTGTCGATTTTAGCTTTCCGAAGTTTTCGAGCAAGAGATCGACCCTGTGATGCAAGCTTTGGGATATTGTTGCGGGAGGAAATACACGTTCAATCCGCAAGTGCTGTGTTGTTACGGGAAACAACTGTGTACGATACCAAGGGACGCAAAGTACTACTCCTATCAGAACAGGTCAGTATTCTTCGGTCGTTAAATAACTATGCGCAGTAAGATAATATTAATATTTAATTGATAGTGCGAGAAAAAAGATAATAGTCTGCATGATGGGAATACGTTAGATCTTGCCTTGCTTATTGTTAGTAACTTTTTTAGTTATCATCAGATAATATTAGATATCTCTAGTTAATGAGTAATGTTGCTCCCGTCCGGCTACTTCCATCTTTTTTTTAAGATTACTGGCATCCACACAGTTTTACTACGATTATGTATCATATATTACGCGTTATTTTCGTAAAGTTTTCTCCCCCCTAGGCGCGTTCGTTGTCATGTAGTGCATTTTCTCGTTCTTGGAAAACAGTACTGTAACCGAACGCGCTAGATCAAATTGGCAGGCTAATTAACTTGTTTCGATCGAATATCGATACAGGTCAGTCTCCTGACCTACACGTATTCTGTTCCTTACGGGTTTCTTTTTTTTGACGTTATAGTTAAGTCCTTTTCTTCGTAACGTTCGCACACATATTTGTGTATAAAATGTAAACTTGAATCCTACGCATATACTTAAGGGGTGTAAGCAGTGTATCCAGTAATGCGAATCTTTACCTGAAATTAGAGAGATAGTCTTTTAAATGATTAAAAGATTTGCTTTGGAGATAGTTCGCGGAATGCATATTATGCATTTGAAACATAAAATTTCGTTGTTGACTCTTGAGTATATGCAATTTAAATTTTATATTATTATTTTAAATTTAATTGAATTAAACGGTGTCTAATTATGGCACTCTTCTCTTCTTTGTATGTTCCTTCGCTCTACCCATGGGTTGCGCACGCACACACAAATCCTTGTTTGCTGCTTGCTTCTTGTGTTGCTTCTCTTTGACTCTACTACTACCACTACCACTACTGTTACTACTACTACTACTATTACTATTACATCCGAATTATATTTCATCCGAAACATGAAAATTGATACTGGGAAATTGGACGAATTCGGAATCGGATACCTGATACTTAAAAATGAAAACATGATACAAATATCAAACGATGTCTGTGTCTCTGATCGAAAAAATAACGTTACACGAAACGATGATATTCTACAATTTGGGAAAATCTAATGTATCACCAATCGAACGGACGTATTCGGCAAACACACTATTTGCATGTGTATAATCGCAAAAACAAACAAATATCTTTATCAAAATTGGATACTTGGCACATTTGGATCGAGCACATCGATTGGGGCGTGAAATGAATTGATCTTCGTACGATGCACGCATGACATTGACGTGAATTGAAATTTGGATCTAAATATCCTCTGTCCATCGATCATGGAATAGTAGTCTAAAGGCATATGGTCTTGTTTCCGACAGATACACCTTCTGTCAGAAATGTTTCAACGACATTCCTGGCGACACTGTGACATTAGGAGATGATCCGACGCAACCACAAACGTAAGTTCACAGCATCACAACGAGACGACGACGGGGTACCACCTCCGGTACCACCGACGCTGTCACAATGACGTACGACATCGAAGAGTAGAATCGACGCGACATTAATACGTATCAAAATTACCGTTACAGTGCCATTAAAAAGGAACAGTTCCAGGAAATGAAGAACGACCATTTGGAATTGGAGCCTTTCGTCGTCTGTACAGATTGCGGTAGAAAGGTGCATCAGATTTGCGTGCTTCATATGGAAGCGATTTGGCCATTAGGGTAAGAGAATGTTTTGTTCCGTTTACTGTTGTCTCTTTTTGCTTTACAAAATGAATCGACGTTGTTGCGACGATGACGACGATATATATGACTGAATATAAATGTGTTCTGTCGCAGATTTACTTGTGATAAATGTTTGAAGAAAAAAGGGCAGAAGCGTAAGGAGAATAAATTTAATGCTACACGTCTGCCGGTTACTAAGTTAGGTACCTATATCGAAACGCGCGTAAATAATTTCCTGAAGAAGAAAGAGGCTGGTGCCGGGGAGGTAGCGATCAGAGTCGTGGCGTCTAGCGACAAAGTCGTCGAAGTGAAGCCAGGAATGCGAAGTAGATTCGTAGAAAATGGCGACATGCCTGGCGAATTTCCGTATAGAGCTAAAGCTTTGTTCGCATTCGAGGAGGTCGACGGCACGGACGTATGTTTTTTTGGCATGCACGTGCAGGAATACGGCAGTGAATGTACACCTCCCAATACTCGAAGAGTTTACATTGCCTATTTGGATTCTGTTCACTTTTTCCGGCCTAGACAATTCCGAACAGCGGTGTATCATGAAATTCTTCTTGGTTACCTCGACTACGCGAAACAACTTGGGTAAGTTGCTGCGGCGGCGTGATGGAAAGTCCATCCGCGTTTATTGTTCAGTACAGAACTTAAATTGTGCTTGTGTTGACCGTGTCACTCTACTGTGTGCAGATACACGATGGCCCACATATGGGCTTGTCCGCCTTCCGAAGGAGATGATTACATTTTCCACTGCCATCCCCAAGAACAAAAGATTCCAAAGCCTAAGAGATTGCAGGAGTGGTATAAGAAGATGTTGGACAAGGGCATGGTCGAAAGAATCGTGCTCGATTACAAAGTTAGTAGTCTGAGCATTTTTTATTTTAATCATTGTACACATTAGTCTCTCTGTGTTACTTGAGAATCAATCACATTGGATTCTTGAGTGTCGAACGAGACTAAAAGCAACGTCTGCAAAAGCTAATGTTCTTACTCGTGAACCACGTATTCGAACATAGGATTAGCAGACTACAACAATTCGATTCGCGAACAGTGAACGATGATGTGAGATCTGTTAATGATGATAATAATAATTCTACTTGGATTGATTTCAGGATATTTTAAAACAAGCGATGGAAGATAAGCTTTCGTCGGCAGCCGATCTACCTTATTTCGAGGGTGATTTCTGGCCGAACGTTTTAGAAGAAAGTATCAAGGAATTGGATCAAGAAGAGGAAGAAAAACGCAAACAGGCAGAAGCCGCGGAAGCTGCCGCTGCCAACGCGGTAAGAAGCATAGTAGTTTTCTCAGCCTTCCGTTCTGATAGTACTAGAAGGGGGTAACGCGAGTACGTAGAGTAGTACGACGAATGACGAATTATTATGACGCGTGTCTAACTCATTGTTGTTCGCACGTGTTTGTTTCTCACAAAACAGATTTTCTCGATGTCCGAAGACTCTGAAACGGGGCCGGACGGCAAAAAGAAGGGGCAGAAGAAAGCCAAAAAATCGAACAAATCCAAAGCAAATCAAAGAAAAAATAGTAAAAAGTCTAATACTCCTCAGACAGGAAACGACCTTTCTGCAAAAATATTTGCAACTATGGAGAAACATAAAGAAGTATTCTTTGTTATTAGGTTGCATAGCGCACAAAGTGCAGCCAGTTTAGCAGTAAGTATCCGCCGTGTCATCTACTACTATCTATGTACGTGCTACGTGATATACTTTTACGTGTCGCTGCAACGAAATTCTGTTTCATGCATATACAGCCTATTCAAGACCCCGATCCTGTTATTAACTGTGACCTTATGGACGGACGCGACGCTTTTCTCACAGTGGCTAGAGAAAGACATTATGAATTCTCTTCCTTGAGACGTGCGAAATTCAGTTCCATGTCTATGCTGTACGAATTGCATAACCAAGGCCAAGACAAGTTTGTGTACACTTGTAACAATTGCAAGAGTCATGTAGAGACGAGATATCATTGTACGGTGTGTGACGTAAGTATCGACAGTACAATAATTATTATCTACGTTTGCTCTGCTTGTTCTTGTTGACATCGATCTTATTATTATTATTACGTTCAGGACTTTGATCTGTGTATAAGCTGTAAAGAGAAGGATGGTCATCCTCATCACATGGAGAAACTTGGTTTAGATTTGGATGATGGTTCATCGCCGGTCGATGCTAAGCAAGCTAATCCACAGGTAAAATAAATGCAAATAAATACGATGATACGATCGACCTCGTTCCTAATTTCTAATGATAAAACAACTTTTTTCTTTTCGTTTTTCTACACAAAACAGGAGGCACGTAAGCTTTCGATACAAAGATGTATTCAATCGTTGGTGCACGCGTGCCAGTGCAGGGATGCTAACTGTCGTCTAACGAGCTGTCAGAAAATGAAGCGAGTAGTGACGCATACGAAAGTTTGCAAGCGAAAGACGAACGGTGGCTGTCCAATATGCAAACAATTAATCGTGCTGTGCTGTTACCATGCTAAACACTGCCAAGAGACTAAATGTCTCGTTCCATTCTGTTCGAACATCAAACACAAATTTAAGCAGCAACAGCTTCAACAACGGTTACAACAGGCGCAATTATTAAGGTAAATTCGCGAGATCGATGGATACGCGGGGGGGGGGGGGGGATCGCGATCTGTGAAATGAGATTCTACATCGGATAGATGCGCGCGGACGGGGTATCTAAATTACATTTCTCGATCACAGGAGACGAATGGCTGTGATGAATACCAGACCCACGGGAGCTGTAGGAGCTATGCAATCCGGGCAACAGAGTTCGAACGTTACCATGACCACCGCCGGTGTCGCCATGAAACCGGGTATTAGTCCAACGAATTTACCGTCGCCACATCAACCTGGCATCGGATTGAAACCCGGCACGCAAACACCGCCCGCTCATGTCCTCCAGGTGGTTAAACAGGTACAGGAGGAGGCGGCGAGGCAGCAGGCCCCTCATGGTTACGGTAAAGTAACGCCAGGCGGTGGAGTCGGCGTTGGAGTCGGTGTAGGAGGACAAACGGGTGGCGTGATGCCTCCACCTCAAATACAACGACCAATGCCTGCCGTCCAAATGCCGAATCCTGGTGGTGGTAGTACGCATCTCATTTCGATGGACCAGTGGAGGTAAATGATCGAGGACGACGAGAATAAACGACGAAGGACGAACGAAAGATAAGAAGTATTAAGCGCAACTGTGTTTGTTCGCAGTAGATATCCTCCGAACGCGGTGATGCAGCAGAATCCTGGTTTGAGGCAACAAACACCGCAGCAGTTGATGCAACAACAGCAGCAACATCAGGGTCCAACGATGGCGATGGGTGGACAAATGCCAAGACAAACAGCAGGAGTTCTTGGCGGCCCGGTCGGCCAGGTCGGACCCCAAGCTCAAAACATGCACAAGCACGTGTTGCAGCAACTTATGCAAACTCTTAAGAATCCTCATACTCCCGAACAACAGAACCAAATACTTCAAATACTCAAAAGCAATCCACCGATCATGGCCGCCTTTATTAAGCAACGGGTACGACGATGATGAGATCAATCTTTCAATTATTATTCCCATTCTCGCCGCCGACGATCGATTTCTTAGCATGTGCCATTGTTTTTAATCGGCAGGCGCTTGCCCATCAGCAACAAAGCGGTCAGTATGGCGGAGGAGTGGGCGGACCACTGGGCCCTAATCAACCGCAACAGCAACCCGGACTGCAGCATATGATGTCTCAACAACAACAGCAGCAGCAGCAGCAACAGCAGCAGCAGCAGCAACATCAACAACAGCAGCAACATCAACAGCAGCAACAGCAGCAGCAGCAGGGCAGAATGCAAATACAAGCGATGTTGAATCAGCAGCAACAGCAGCAGCAACAGCAACAACAGCAGCAACAGCAGCAGCAGCAGCAGCAGCCTATTCAACAACAACAGTCGCAGTGGTACAAACAGCAAATGATGGCGATGCAGAGGCAGCAAGCCCAGCAGCAGCAGCAACAACAACAACAACAGCAGCAGCAACAGCAACAACAACAACAGCAGCAGCAGCAGCAACAGTTTACCCAACCACCCGCGCCTCCTTACGGGCAACAGCGACCCATAAGGCCATCCCTTCTCGGTAAGAATTATTTCATTGTGGAGAAAACGAGATTCGTCGAGCCGGTTGCCTCGTGGTCTAACGCTTGCCACGATTACGCGTATTCTTCCCCAGGTTATGGTGGGTTTAGCGAACAAGGATACGGTCAACCGGGTTTAAAACCAACGCCTCCGCCGGTACCCTCCCCGCAAGGTGTAATGGGTCCTCCAGGGATCTCTGTACAGCAACAGTTAATGCAGTCCGTTCGATCTCCGCCGCCGATAAGATCTCCTCAACCAAACCCTTCTCCGCGACCGGTCCCGTCTCCGCGTAATCAGCCAGTTCCTTCGCCGCGGTCGGGTCCGGTGCCATCACCTCATCATCATCCACCCCACGGCACGCCGACGCATTCGCCGGCTCACGAACTGAGCGGACCGAGCGAGATGATGCTCTCGCAATTGAGCGGCGGAACGGGCGCGCCAACGGGTCACCCTGGTGCCATGCCCCATCATCCGTCTCCCGCCCCTCCACCCACCAGTGGCACGGATTCGAGCGAAGTGACGCCCATGACGCCACAAGATCAACTTTCCAAGTTCGTCGAAGGATTGTAGTGACTGTTAGTAGTGAAAAGTCGTCTGTCGCGATACTTGGAGTGGTGGCTACTACTGGTGGTTGTTGTCTGGTTAGTGGTGGGCGAACGATGACGATTCGCATCTCGCAAACTTGTAACAGTTTCGTCGCGCGGTACCGCTTTTCCGTCTCTCTGTCTGTCGCGAAGGCAGAGGGGAGGGTAAACCTCCATCCATTCTGCGTTCCTAGCTTCGTGGAGATTGAAGGTACAACACAAATACTTACGTCCGGTACGCTGACCGAACTCGCTGCCGATGTACAAACATGTGTGTACGGGTCAGAGTACCACAATTGGTGCGACCAAATTAATCCAAATGACGCGTATTTCCTCTCTCTCTAATCTTCGAGTTAAGGTGCAGAAGCGATACACATATGTGCGCAGCACACACACACACACACACACACATACACACAACGCGATGTGGTGCTTCTTAGATGCTCCGCAAAGATGCTACAGCTGGCTCAATGGACACACGACGAACACTTGTACTGTACACGTTTACTGTAATTTCTCGTACTTTGACTTTCCGACTTGCCGGCATCCGGAGAGAACCGGTCGAATGACGAGAAAGCAAGTTAATTAAAACTGTATCGCGCGCGCGCGCGCACATAAAATCAACAGAGATTATTAACGAAAAAAAAACATTCTCCCCGTGAACACGAACACGCTACACGTACACCCGCGTCCCAGCCCCTAATCTTTTACTCCTGCTGCCCACCTAGCAAACACGATTCCTTCTCATCTAACACCACCTTTTCTCTGACTGCTGTTCGTGCTGCAGGTCGAGTGAAATCGTACAAATGTGTTGTGTATACTTAACGTTAATTAATAATTAATAGTTCAAATATTATTAGCGTAGCGATTATATGCAGTTATTATATACCACTATTATTATTATCGTGACGAGATGCAAAGTATATAGAATGAGAACTGGTGGACTGTATGAAATGAAACGGAAAGATATCGCGCGCGAGGAAAGGAGAAAAGAAACCAGCTTGTATGTAACGTAAGGAAGGGAGAACAGAATTTAGTGGAAAGTTAAGTAATGTTAACTTAGGCTAATTTGTTATTAAGAGATCGCTACGGTTGCCGAAGGTTCTACCTTAGCGCCATTCAATTTTATGCATCATTCAGAAAATAATCGACAAATGATAATCTGCTGGAATCGTTCCTTCGGGAAGGAACGGGGCTCGGCGGCGGCGGCGGCGGGATTGTGTTGACAGGACAGGCGAAACAACGTGAATTAACGGTGTCGCAACCAAACGAAAAAAAAGTAGAAACGACAAGCTGCTATTTGCTAGACTACGGGAGGATTTATAAGACGTGTTAATTTTGAAGGAAACAAAAATCAACAGTTTTTCGAATCGAGGGTCTAAAACATGTACAGTTCAATCAAAATATGTAGTTATGAAAGCGTAACCCGATACAGACCCTCGTGGGAAAACAATTCTGTACATACTATACTATTATTACGATAATAATAACGATTATTATTAATTTCCCTGTCTATTATGAATTTATTATTAATATTATTGCTATTATTATTATAATTATTATTGATTCTTTAATAATTATTACCATTATTATTATTATAATTTTATTATTATTATTATTAAAATTATTATTATTACCATCGTTGACATCGCGAGAGAAAGATTTAAACTCTGTATGTGTATAGTGGGTACAATGTAATTATTCGAAAAGAAAAGCGAGAAAGGGATTCACACACGTGTTACATCCGTCGTATGTGCACGGTATGCACGACAAAAAGAGTACACGTATATACGTATATTAACGCGCGGAGATGATACGTGACTTTGCGAGTGCTATATGACATTATAGTAAACGTAACCGTTTTCCTACCCCTTTTTTTCTTCGAGAACTATTTAAAACGCCGACTAGTTGATAAAATCGACAGTGTGCAAAAAAATGCGTGTTCCGTCAGGTATCTTTCTTCTTTCTTTTTTTTTGCACGGTCGCGTGTAACAGGCGACTACAGATGATTTATAGTTGTAATCAGAATCAGGTCAGTGATTTACATAGAGACCGATATACACGCGTGGGCTCGTGCATACGCGTTCACATTACCGGTGTAAAGTTGATACGCTGCGTTTTCGATTATGAGAAAGTGCGGTCCGATTCGTGATTGTGAATTGAGTTGTCACTTGGACCTATTAGTCGATAATAAATCACGACACAATAGAATTTACACGCACATGTACGGTATACTACGGTTTGTGCTCGTTACAACAATTCCGTTTCAATCCAAGTGCTAACAAATAAATGATAATGATTAAAATCTAGATTTTGAGATTCAACAACGGCGGCGGGGATCGAGCCTAAAAAAGATGAAAAAAAAGATGATCGATCTCGTTTTATTTGACAAAATTGTGGCTTTAAAAGCTTTTTTTTATTATCGCTATTTTCTTTCTTACGACAGCGGTAAATGACCGATGCACTCTTTTTATTCCGTGTGTATGTACCACGTTTTTTTCTTTCGCTTGATTTTCGACACCGGCGAACGGGACGCGACTGGCTCAAATCGTGAACGCATCGCATTATGTATTTACTGAATCCAGTTAGCTTAAAAGTGAGTTAAAATAAGAAATGAAGAATCACATACGGTCAGTGATCGATTCAACTATAGATTCAAATCGAAACGACAGTTTAATTAAGTGAAAAAACGAGAGTAATCGTAACGTGACGAAAACCCAAAAGTATTTGGCTTAGTATGGCTGTGTCTAGGGCAGTGTTGTAAATCTGAAAGTGGTATAACTTTTGTGGTAGTAAAAATAAACTCTTTAAGTGCGAACCAATTCGAACGGCCTGGCATGTCAACACGGCGATCGCGGTCATTAATTTTATCAAAAATAAATTAATTAATAAGAAACGGTCGCTGCGCGTGACGGAGAAAGAAGAAAAATGAAACTATGGAATGAGTTCTTTCTCGAGTCGACTAGAACATAATTATCGCGATTGTAAAAATGATTCTTAAAACGTATGCGAATATCGAGACCGAAATTGAGAGATTAGATGGATAGATTCGTGGAACGTAGGATAGCTTCCACGTAAACGACGAGGACGACGACGACGACGACAGTGACGAAGAAAACGAAGACACAGAAAAGACGGTAGAGATTTGCGTGTCGAAGCTGTTGCCGTGTCAGCGTTCGCAATTTATTAAATTGTAACGAGAAGAAGCGAATAATACCGAACACCGTAACGTTAACATGTATTATAATATTTGTTTTGTTTTTTATATTATCGAACACAGTATATAGATCGCGCGGTTATATCACGATGGAGTAAACATTACGAATTAATTAATTATCCGATAGTTGATAACTGCAAACAAAATTATTGAACGTAATTAATTACGCTATTATCATTGAGCCGAATACCGATTATAGGGTAATACCTTTTATTATGACATTTCGTAAATAGTGAACTGATGATTATCTAATTAAAGATTAATGAGAAGCAAGTGTAACGTTTATCTCTTCTAGGTAAAGAACAGAAGCAGAAAAAAAAAACAGAAAGAAAGAACGAAAGACCATACTCCATTTTTCATCCCCAGTTTCTCTCTCTCGTTTTCTTCGCCGAAAGCAGAGAGCATCGAACTCGAGAGGGGCCGAGAGAAACGGAACGAGAGTCTCTCTCATTTTCTCTCGAGCAGGTCATCCCCAGATTCCTGGATCCAACGACACTGCATCGGTCACGATAAAAGTTGTAAAATATTTCGACGCGAGCACGTTTCCTTATTTATTTCACCGATGATGGTAGATGGTAGGATTCTCGTCGTTCTCTGTGTCTGATCGCGATGAGAAACGAATCGAACGAAAAGGCCATACCCTGTTTGTACCGGCCCCGCGGCCCCAGCTTGTTAAAACCGATCGCGCGCAGAGAGTGATTTAGGAAAAACTTTAGTTAAACATCTCGTTTGCCCTGCCCTGCGTCGTAGGTACCATTGTTCCTTTTGTAAAATATACTTATTACACCTGCAGATAAGATATGACGAGTTCGTTTTCGCAGCGGAAAAACAGAAAAGAAGCTAGCTTCGCGATCCGCTCGGAGAGAGGGAAGAAATAACAAAAATGAATTTAGGTTTTTGCTACAGTTTTATACTATACGTGAACGTGAACGTAAGAACGTGAAATATAATGACTTCGTTTTCCTCTTAACGATTTTTGTAACGTAGATAAGAAATACTGTATGTTGATATTCATGAATATTTAACCAAATATTGTTATATTATTATTATTAAAAATGAAGTTTTAAAAGTACATTCCATTTTTATTTTTCTCTCAACTCAGGTTTACATACATCAGCATGCATACATACATATACGCATACATGATACGTGATGATACATGCTGTATATACGTGTATCGAAAGAGACCAAGATCCTTCAATAAGATGGTATTTCTTATCCACATACGCATAGTATTTATACCGCGCGCATATAATCGCGAAAGAGTTACCGCCGAGGAAGAAGCGAAGATTAGATATTTTTATCCGCCGCGATCATATCTCTTCTGGGAGACAGGAACAGACCAGAGCGAGATTCTCTTGTACCCGCGTGTAAGTAAGTATAAGTGCAGATGATACATCGTCGACACAACGCTATCGCGTATCGATCCTTTGTCATTGCGCGTGTACCCCTTAATAATAAAGTATTTGTTTGAATCTGAAGCGACAGAATGATCGACTAAAGTTTTTCTGTTCAGACTCTGTCGCATCGTCACTGCTCTCGTTTACTTGTTGTTCTGGTTGTTGTTGTTATTGTTATTCATCAATTCGTAACTCTTTCAACTTACTTATTTTTTTGTACGTGGTATAGAGTCTCCTTTCCTTAGAACGTAAGAATCAATCTACAGCCCTTACTCTCGATCGCAGCGCATAATGTAACCGCATCAGAGAGAAACTTTGATGTAACGCGACGTAAACGAAAATAGGCACGTAAAAGTTATATATATATACAAACATACGTATATATTTATACATACGTAGTATTAACATATGAACCTGATATGAGCATGAGCTGAATCTGATGGAATAAAGTTTACGTATATAATTATTTGAATACTCGATTACTAAACTGATTGCGTGTATCATTCGTTGTCGCGTTGTCACACAGCTTGGAGCAGTTGAACAGCAGATGAAAAAGGAATTTAATTTTCGCAAATGTCCCTTATTGCTATAATCTCTATAATAAGATGGAAATTATGCGCTTCGTCTAGACGAGCACGCGAACAGAAGCATTCGCCAAGCGACGCGTCGATCGATCGAAATTTCTAGAATGTAGAACTATATCCGTGGCCGCATACATTCACCTGCTGTTACCTGAACGCGCGTAATAAATCCACGAAATTCTGCCGGGAGACAGGATCTTATCATCGCTCCGATGCGCGATACCATATCCGTGCGAAGAAGACGTGAACATCTGATGAACGTTTCATGATCATCGTAAAAGATACGATATTCATATTTACGAACGACTATTTATGTCGTGATACTATAGAATTACATCAAAGATGGACATCGATCATCGTTGTTCGATGGCAAATTTCTTTGTTCCATCCTGGAAAACTTTCTCTGAACTGGAACGCGGCGATCGCGGTCGCGATCATTTATTCGTGGGGTCACGAAACGTCGACGACCACGACGACTACGATGATCGATGTCTGTCTGTACGATCGTCGATGACTACAATGATGACGACGATGACGACGAGGACGACGACGACTACGACGACGATGCGTCATAGAACTTTGTTAATCAAATTTTAGTAAATAACTAGTATTGAACAACTCAGCTCAGCGCTGTGATTCAGTACTATGACGATGTAAAGGAACGGAACGGAAGTGTATTATGCCTGCGAGATGGAAAGGTTGGGGAAAAAGCGTGTGTCATCTACGGCGGCGATTAGTTTGGACTTGGACTCTTGGACAAGTGGACACGGCTCGGCAATCGTGGTACGCGTGGCCAAGATGGTGGTGGTAACGGTAATGGGCGCACTACGATAATCGGAGTCGGTCGGAACCAGCCGGATCTCTTCGAGTTGCTCCTCTCTTTAATTGTTCGCGGTAGCTTCCACTCGAAGGGTGTTCCTATGCAAACGCATTGATGGTACATCGCATCGCGATTAGTGATGTCAATCCGCTCCTCTGTTGATGACATCGTTTGAGCGTAAGAAAGAGAGAGCGAGAGATCGAGGGAAAGAAAAAAAGGGTGAAGAAGAAGATCGGTCGGTATCGGTGTATCTGTTGTGCCGCATCAATCTGTGCCGTGCTGCTGTGGCGTGCTGTGGCCGCTGTGGGATCCCGCTGGTGCGCCACTACGCCGTCCAAAAATAGATAAATGAACATGACGGCGAGCGTGCCATCCTTGTTGTCGTCGGTGGTTCCACGCACTCCGTAATAACAATGCACAATTATTAAAAGGTTCCAGTGCCAGAGAGAAATGGAGGTGCTTAAAACCAGCCAAGAGATCGTGCACGAAGGGTGGCTGATTAAATCGCCACCCACGAAACTTTGGCGAGCGGTTGGTATTTTAGACAACGACGACGACGACTTTAGTCTACTCGATCTACGTTTTGTTGTTCATTAAACGTTGTTACGTTGTCAAATAGTACTGTGCGCATCGTCATCGAATCTTCGCAAATTCTAACCTACTGGTTTGAAAATGTTTCATAAGCATGGAATGCCGTGATATTTTTATCTCACAGCGTTAACGCTGTAATCATATCATTCGCAATCGCATTGAACCGCGAACATGCACACGATGTACTACTGACGATGAAATTCGAATACTTGGAACGTTTTCCAAAATTATCTGCACGATAAATTTACTCATTTTCAGCGATGGAGGAAAAGGTGGTTTGCTCTTCGGCATAGCGGTGAATTGCCTGGACAATATTTCCTGGAGTATTACAGAGATAGGAGATGTAGAAAGCTAAAGGGTCGTATCGATTTAGATCAATGCGAACAGGTAGTTGTTCTTCTGTGTATCCAAAGGCACTATATTTTCTGAACATGATCGACATAAAGCTATACGTATTCGATGTTCGCCAAACCAACAGGTAGATGCCGGATTAAGATTTGAAAATCGAAAACAAAAGTACCAATACATGTTCAATGTTAAGACACCGAAAAGGACATACTATTTGGTAGCAGAAAGCGAAGCTGACATGAACAAATGGGTAGACGCTGTATGTCAAGTTTGTGGCTTAAAGGCGTATACTCAGGACGAGGAACAACAATGTCAAAGTACGTTCGCTTGTTCCTTTACTTCGAGCTTCGTTTAACATCAGCGTCCTTTATCCGACGACGACGATAGATTCGATTGAAATTGAGTCGTCGTCGTCGTAGTCGTCGTCGTCGTCATGTTAATGTGTCGTCGTTTTTAGTGTTTCAATTTGAATCGCAAGAATCACCACCAATTTCACCGACCAGCACCATTTCCGGGCCTTATATTCCTATCAGCGAATGCATTTCCGGTCGTCGTCTAAACGATACGAGTTCTCTGAATTCGGCAACGAATTTGGGACAAGGCCCCGAGCATTACGATGCACCAAGGCGATTGGCACCCTCTCCTCCCAGGTCACCGACGACCACCGATGCCGAAAGCGTTTTCACTGACGACGAATGGACCGCGCCAGTGCCTAGCGTCAATTGGGAAACGTTTCCGTCCTCGGGGAGCGGCCAGTCGAAACATCTGCATGTTGGTAGCAGTAGTACGAGCGACACCGAGATCGATTCGTGGAGGGTTCGGAAGCGATTTGGAAAAATGAAAATCGTCGATCCGTCGTCGGTTCCAACACCGCCTACTACAGCAGCGGCTGAAAAGTTACCCGCGCCGCCTAGGCCGCCGAAACCACCTCACATGTTACCTGATAATCCTGGTCATAATTATTTAAATTTGGATGGTGCCACCGAAAGTTCAAAACCCACTACTCCGGCAACTCCTGCGCCTTCAACACCTGCGGCGGCGGCGACAGCGACCGTAACCGACGAGTCTTACGATTTCCCGAGATCTCACCAGCCGGGAGCAGCACCCGAATTTAACACGATAGACAAACATCTTTACTCGAACGCTGCTCCGAGCAACGTCGTCGTCATGGTCGAGGAGACGCGAGTATTTCGTTATGATTTTCAGCAGGAAGAAGAACCATCGAGTCCGCGTTCCGAAAGTTCAACGACTGCCACTTATTCCAATCTACCGAGTCCTCTGATACGCGACAACAATGACTCCTCGACGACCTCGACATCGACGACGACGGCGACAATGACAATGGCACCGCCACCGCCACCACCAATCGTTTACCGCGAATTAAAGCCAGGAAGAAAAACTAGTGACTCTACGTCGGTCATAAGCAACGAACCCTCCCCAGGACCAGTGGCGGCGGCGTTGAGCTTGGAAATGAGCTCCGCCGAACATTCTCCTGCAGAACCACCGAGTATAGACAGGAAGTTGAAACCTCCGTTAAATAATAAATCTCCTGTGGAAGGTACGCGCAGAATCTTCGTACTCGCGATCGAGTTGCGAACGTGGAATTGATCGAACTATGTGTAATAGTAGAATATTTTATAGGACCGTTGCAATTAGCTTCACCACCTGGAAGAGGAGGAAGGATCAGAGCGGCTTCTAGTCCTACGCCACCGACGACTCATGGACATTCGAATCGACATTTGTCAACGTCGGATGAAGATAATAATACTTTCGACGATAGGGAAGAGGTACGTAATAAATCGATTCGATCGATTTCATATCTCGGGCCTTCGTTTCAATCACGTCACGACGGGATACGATATGTTATAGATATACTACTACCAGCAGGATCAAAACACGTTTATTCCTGCGTCGTCGAATCGTCGCCTCGTTATGTTGCAATACCTGGATCTCGATTTAGAGGCGACCGAAAACTTTACTTCCTCACTCGGTTTACCACAGACTCAATCCCCACCCAATACGACCGTGTATAAAACTGTAGACTTCCTGAAAACCGAAGCGTTCAATCGTACCCGTCAACGAGTCGAAGAGGAGAGGAAGCAGTGTACGGATGAACTGGCCTAGCCCCAATTATATTTCTGTTTTCGTTTTTTCCCCTATGTGACGCCCGGTGATGACGACACAAAGGAGGATTCGCAGGAATTTTTCACGTAGCGTATAAATATCGTTATGAAGTACATACACGTAGCAGGAAAACTGCGAAACTCACGCAGTACTTAGCGCGTGCTTCAAGCGCTTTCGAGATATTTTCGATATTTGTTCTAAAATCAAAGATCGAATTCGAAAGCTTCGTCGTACCAGGTCGTACACGATAGTTGGTAACTGAAGAGAGCAATATTCAATGGACCAAAAATAGAATGTTAATGAAGAGACAAAATGTAACTATAGTACTTTCACACGGAACTAGTGATCCAAATTGTTAACAAGTTTTTAATTAAGGAAGTAAGTATCGCATCGTATTCAGATACGTGAGAGTCGCAATTCGTTTCCTTTACTGCACGTGGTTTCGGATGTACGGATGTTCCAGGACGAGAAAGAGACATTCGTATTCTCGATTATACACAACGACTTGATTTATATGAGTGTAGGTATATCGCCGATATTGCCGAGGATTTTAAACATTCTAATTTTAAGTATTCTACAAACAATGTGTAATATATGTTTAAAGTGCCTGAATCAATAGTTTTCTTTTCGCGAAGAGTTCGTCACTTCGTTGCTGCATAACAGCGAAGTGTATTATATTTATGCTTAAAGACATGGTAGGAAAAGTGTATGCTTAAAGACATGGTAGGAAATTTCCTCATTCAGTCAGAAACAATATATGTACATAGAAATTTACATCCTTTTCGACTGATCCAAGTATACATATTAATTTGTGAATAGTTTTTCTAAGAATTTTATTTTTTTTAACATACGACAGTGTTTAATTCACTGTACCTGCTGATGCGTGGTTTAATTAAAAATCATGACTCGATATTATGATAAAGAAAATGTGGACACATATTTTTCTGAACAGCTACCGAACAAATTACAGATTTGTATCAATCCCCGTCCCCCGTTACCATTGCATGTTCGCACATGCGTGCAGAGATATGTGTCGAAGGCGCGAGTATATCTTGTGTTGTGGTTGTGTGTAACTGCAACTCGTATATTCGACTATATTACACTACATTTTACTTTTATAACGGTATAATTCTGTAGGAGTACCAAAAAATAATCCTATATAGACATCTTCGACGTATCGACAAATCGTGTCACTCGCCGAGGTTTCAAGATTCAAGCTTCGCTAGTAAATGAGACGACCAAAGTGACAGTAGTACACAACAAAGAGATGTCACTTTTCCGTGTATTACCGTATATGCGACTTTTTCGATCACTGATCACGTCTGTATAGCCGCAGTAATATTTACTTGAACACACGTCTCCTTAAAGAAATCAACTCTGTTACATCTTGTTCATACGATTCCAAACGATATATTCATCTCATAATCGTTCAATGATTATAGACTGCATCGAAGGAAGGTTAAGTTTCAAAACCGGGACGTGACACACGCTCATATATGTGTCATTAAGAATGATTACTACCTATATTATAAAGCAAACCAGTCAAGTAAAAGAACGATGACGATTTGATTTTCGAACGATGTTTACTATATTGACGCGTAGCGATAATACTGAAAAGAGTGCTGATGTACGATAGAAGTGCATCGTTCACAGCCACAGCAACAACAGCAGCAGCAATAATAGACATTGGTCGGTTCAAATCGATTCGCACAATGGTAGAGGATAAAAAATATGAAATTGACAGCCGTATCGAGTGCGATGGGCATCGGGGCACGGTAAAATATGTCGGTCCCGTCGGTGAAACGAAAGGTTTGTGGCTCGGAATAGATTGGGACGATCCGACTCGTGGCAAACACGATGGTACACATGAGGGAGTAACGTATTTCAAAACTAGGTAACTAACCGAATGAAAGTACTAAAATGTAGATGTGTTACGTAGATGCATTACGATACGAATAACGAATACTAGCCGTTCACCTTTCTTGCACCCCCCACACACGCAGGCATCCTACATCAGGTTCCTTTATACGCCCAGGTAAAGCAAAATTTGGAATATCTTGTACCGAAGCTATTAAAATTCGATATGGCCTGATCAATGATGACAATGACTTGGCCGGCATGGATAAAGATACTCTGGCAAGCTTGCAAAAAGAGATGAATGCCCCTTTCGTGGAAGTCGTTGGGTTTTCCAAAGTAAACAGAAAGCAAAGCAAGTTCGATCAATTAAAAATAGTATGGTTAAGAGAACAATACGTCAGTACTGCCAGTAAACTGCCAGGCGAACTGGAAGAGTTGTGCCCAAATTTGGAAGAGTTGGACATATCGAAAAATTTAATGAATAGCTGGCAAATCATAGCGGACATCTGTCGCCAGCTTCACCGTCTCATTCGTCTCAACGTGAGGTAACTACACACACGCGTGCACGCGCACGTCTTAATTGCACAACAGATACGAATTCCGGTATATCCATTCCCACCCTGTCTTATTTTCATTATTACGCGTTCAGCGAGAATTATTTACCAATCGAAGAGAACATGGAAACACTAAAAGATTCATTTTCTACCGTCGAACATTTAAACATGGCTAAAATGAATTACAATTGGTTTGACATACAACAGTGCGTAAGAATGTTTCCATCCCTTCGAGAAATTTCAGTCTCTTTCAACATCGTCAGCAGCATCATGCTGCAGCAGAATCCGCTGAAAGCCGATGACAATTTAATGAAAATATGCAGACTGACCCTCGAAGGGAACTTGATACACAGTTGGGACGAAATTCTTAAATTGGGCTGTCTTCCATGGTAAGGAGCAACAGCAGTAGCGGTCGACCATCATTCGTACGAATTTTATTTTACAGCTTGGAATATCTTAATTTGAATTCGAATAAAATAGACAAAATTAGATTTCCAACCGATGAACCAACCGCAAAGACGTCAGTCTTTCCCAGTTTGCGACAATTACACATGTCACAAAATAACGTATCGGAGGTAAAATAAATATTGATGCTATATTCGTGCGAACAACGTATCTCGTAGTTAGAGCGCGTCGTATCCGCTTGTGAAACATCACGTACCCCACGTTAATCACGTTGTTCGTGCAATTTACAGTGGCGGTCCGTATCGGAATTGGAAAAACTCGATCGTTTGGAGGACTTGAGGTTTAGGGAAAATCCAGTTACGCAGACCACGGAAAATTTGGAAACTGCTCGTCAGTTGATAATAGCAAGAATCTCGAAATTGAAATCGTTGAACGGTACCGAGATCTTGAACGATGAAAGACGAGGCGCCGAATTCGATTATTTGAAATTGTATTTGGCGAAATGGACTGAAACCGAGAATGATCCCGAAAAAAGAAATCAATTTACGATCGAACATCCTCGATATCACGCATTAGTTGAAAGTAAGCAAACAAGAGACACGCGCGACAGCACACGGGGATACGACATACGCATATCGGGGCATGAATAACGAGCAATCTTCGTCATCGTCGTCGTCGTAGTTATATACTGTATTTTATAATTTTTAGAGTACGGAATTTCCAATATTCCTTTGTCGCAAACAAAAGTCGAGATGATATCCAACGTAATAACAGTGGAGTTCGTATGCCCGGATGATCCGAATGCTGCTGCTGTGGCCAGCGGCAGAGGAGTCAAAAGAAAACTTTTAAAAGATATGGAAGTTCAAAAAGTTATCGGACTCGCACAACGGTTATTCAGAACCGGAGGAAAAATACCGAGACTCTCGTTCATACAACGAAACGTAAGTAATAGTTCCACATCGTTCCGTGCTACGCGCACCAATATCGCACGTATACAGGCGCAGAGCAAAGTACCTTTACACGATCGTCCACACGCGTTTTTGTACCCTTGAATTTGTTCTAGCTTTCCAAGAAAGAGATACCTTTGGATAAACCGCTTCAGGAACTCAGCTATTACTCGATACAAGATGGAGACCAAGTGATCGTGAGATGGTGATATCAAACGAAAAGAATCCATAAAGATGATGGTATTTTATACATCGTTAAACCATCATCGTTTCACCACTGTACTCGGTCATTAAAGTTTTTTAACGGCACTTTCGTAACCCATTTGCAAATTATAAGAAATCTAAGTATATCCAAAAAGAAAAACTTACCATTTATTTCGAACAATACATGTGTATGAAAAAGAAATACATCTGATGTGTACTATGTACGCACGATACACACGTTACCGTCGGCGGTGGCGGTGGCGACAGTATATCCATTGGCGCCTGGCGTCATTGCGTATCTTATAAATGGCATACAGAATCGATCACGCGCCCATGTCACGCACAGAGTTTCAGAGAATACGATGAACAGATTCAATTTTGTTGCGCCTTTTCCTCGATCTTGCCGTATTCATCCTTTTCGAGTTGTTCTCGCGTCAACAGAGACAATCCTAATTGGTTTTCACGTGTGAACGGCTGGGCCATTTGTCGCAACCAACGTTTACTGATCTGTAACTCGTAATTGCAATCGAGGTCACGACCAGGTGCGACGACGTTCATTGCCGATCTTCATACAAACGCGGTACAATACCGAATTAGTTATCCGATTACCGTAATTACCTGTACAGCTTCCTCCGTCGACAAATTACATAAATTGTCGGTCAAGTGTTCCTGTATCCATTTTGGTAATTTACTTCGTTTGTCCGATCTTGAAAATCTCTGAAACGGACAAAGACGGTCAGAAATGACAAGCTAAACAGAAGCAGCAGTGTCAACGATCGTGACAATTCTCGTTACCTTATCCGCGAATACCATTATACCGTAGTCGGTCTTTCCTCTGATTGCCCTTCCAACGCATTGTGCCGCGTGTCTCATCGCATCGAAAGTCAAAAAATCATTTTCTCTGATCTACAGCAAGACCACACAACCACAATGAAGAGAACGACGATCATTGTCGTAAGTTACTCGCGAAACTGTGATCCACACGGAATTTACTCGTTCATCAATTCGAACAAGACAGACAGACAGACACGCTTGAACTCACTTGAAATTGATCGCGGAGATATTCCAATCGCGCTTTTAAGATTCGTGATTGCGTATAGACATAAGGGATTCCAAACATCAACACGGCTCTTCCCAAGTGATGATCAAAATCAACTCCTTCGGATACTTTACCGCGAGCCACGGAAAGGAGCACAGCACCCCTTCCATTCTCACAGGCTTTGATGTAGTGTATCAAAGCCAAACTGGTCTCCGCAGAATCTTGAGTCTCAATGAACAACAGTTTGTGCCTTTGAAGTTGATCCACTACACCTTGATCGTACCTACGAGGTAAAGGTAATACATATATTTGCTAACAACGACATACCTACGAGCCAGTCAGCCAATCGCCGAACGTATACCGACGTACCACGCAGCAACTACAGATTCCATGTAAAAATACGAGGTAAAGAAACAGACCATGCCATCGGGGACGGTAGCTGCGAATTCGACTAACAGCTGACCATAATTTCTTATAACAGCAACGTCCTCCCTAGTTTCGTACCTTGACGAGATTGCGACTTGGTCGTTACCTTTCGCCACGATCTGAAACAAAGAATTGATTCATCTCGCGAAACGCTGAAAATCGCGGATTTGTTCGCGATTCAAAGGAAACCGACCGACCGACGGAAGGACGAACGACCGACCACAACTGTTCTACGGGTGATAGCGTACAAATCACGCGCGTAGGTACTTACCATAGGCAAGAGGCAAGGTCTGGCCAGAGTCATGGTGAAAGACGACATTATGACAGGACGGAAATTCAAGATTTTCGGATACATATCCAACGGGGACAACGTTCCCGAAGTGATCACCACCGACTGAAACCTATCGAAGATCGGCTTCATCGCGATCGATGAATCCAAACAACTGAAGTGTAGGATCGGATTCAAAACGTTGGGCGTCTTGTCATCGAACGGTTCCACTATAACGGTAAATCCTTTCGTGTACGTAGAAACCAACGTCGCGAGATGCGTCACGACTATCGTCGGCGAAAAATCCGTCAAGTCGGTTACCTCCATAGTGCGTAAAAGAGACGCCAATCGTTCGGCGCAAAACCTCAACGGTTTACGTTCTATCGAAACTTTCGCGCGGACGTCTCTTAAAAATGCAGCAGGCGATTCTTGAACGACGTGCTGCACACGCAAACGCGTCTTCAGATATTCCACGAATCGTTTCAAGAAACCAACGAAGTGTTCCGCGTTCCTGATATTACCGGGAACCACTTCTGAAAGACGACCCAACAACACACGATGCGGTGAAACGATCGTCGGTCATCACATTCGAAACGTTCGCGAATCGTCTCGTATCCATCCATCGTTACCGTTATCCCGGTTATCGCCTCCTTACCTTCCAACACTTGATCCGGCAAAATGGGATTAGCCAAGACGACGTCGGTTTCTCTGGCAACGTGCGCGTCTCTGAGTCCCTCCACCAATCTCTCGTACTCTTCTCTTAATTTGTTCACGTCGTCCTCCCTCATTCTGAGAATCGTAAGCACCATCAGTGCAGGTGACCGGCGGCAACCGGAAGAACGCGACATGTCGAACGCTCGAAAGAGGAAGAATGCAGTTGAGAAATACTACTTACTCTGCCACAGTCTTTTCGAGAAATTGTATATTGGCCGAACTTTTCTCCAACATTCTTCTGTTGATCTTGACGCTCATCGAATCGATGCACACGTTGTCTGTGACAAAAACACAGGCAGAGGAATGATGATAGTAATAGCACGCGCGAGTGGAAACCACATGACATTACGCAAGTCCGCATCTAGCGGCGGTAAGAAACCATACCTATATTGTGGGCCTCGTCGAACACCACGACGGAACTTTTGCTCAGTTCTTTGGACACCGTCTCTGCGATTTTAGGATCCAACAAATAATGATAACTGTAAACCACGATCTGCGCGTGCAATATCTGCCGACAACGATTGTTCGTAGAAACAAATGAGTACTCGGGGGGTAGTCAGCATCATCATAGGTACTCAGTAGCGCAACGGATCGACGATCAACTCTTCCATTCACCATAATAAACTATGCTCACCGTAAATCTCGCGAGAAAGTATGGACACCAATTACGATCCTTGCCATACTCCTTCAAATCGTCAATGGAATATATCCCCGGTGGCATCATCTGTTCCTTACCCTCCACATCGAATCCTTCATAAAAATTACAAACTGGTACAGAGTCATCGGAGTTTCGTCTCTCACGAATGTACGATGCCGTCAGAGCATGACAACGTGCGTCAACAATCTTTCCTTCTCGTTCCCTGCTGACCTGACACAAAGGATAATGAAGAGCAGATGATACATGGGCGAGCAATGGGAACGAGAACTCGACTCGCGGTGGACATCATCGAAAACCATTTGAAAGCAAAAAATGTGAAATTACTTCTGGATGAATGCACATATTCTTCCGAGAACTGAGAACCAAGCCAACGATTTTAGGTCTGCCACCAGCTTCTTTCTCATAGTAGTCTATAAGCTTTTTCAACTCCTCTGTAACTTTCTCGATCTCCGGTACTGTACGGGAACAATAAATCAATTTGGTGACATCCAACGGATGTTCCAACATGTATGCCACGATCAGTGACAAAAGCGTGACAGTCTTGCCAGTGCCGGACGGCATCTCCAACAGACAGTGTCCCTGTGTAAAAATTACAAAGCGAACGAATGCATGAGTTGCAAGGATCGTGCGCAACGTTCGCACAAACATTCAACGAATGTAGCACCAGTTACCTTGGCATCCAAGCCACGTTTAAGCTCAAGCATGTATGCATACTGTTCCGGATAAATGTAATCGTAAGGAAAATACACGAGCAAACCGTCCACGGTTATTCTGCAATCAAACAAGCAGGTACCATCACGTGCGTGTATGTACGTAGCTACGAGAATTTCGTAGGCAGGAACGCGTAACACTCACTTCATGTTCCTACAACGTTTCCCGCAACGCAAATCGCAGTCGTACACGCAAATTAGCTGAGATTCAACGTGGATTCACAACAAATAAATACAAATATATACAGGCAGGAGAGGTTAGTGCCGTTAGTGCGCGATCGGTCAGCAAGATCCGCAACCGCAATCTGATCAGTGTTGAGGTTGAGGTGTGAGCACATGGACCTGGCTCAATGATGCTCACTGAAGCTCACAGTCGGGTTCATAGTTGCCACAAAATCGCACGACACTTGTCACACCATGGTTCTCTACGTACTCCTTCGTTTATGCACTTTAGAAACGCATTTTTTAAAAAGAAATCAGACGTCGGAAGAATATTGCTAATAATAAAC